CATGTGTCATTCAATCAAAGATTAGTAGGCATGGTGAAAAGAACTACATGACCAAAATTCAAAAGGAAAACAGACAATAGAGACAGATACTCAAGTGAGTCTGATACTAGATTTAGCTGGCAAAAACTTTTAAATGATTTTTTAAAAGGAATGCCTTTAAATGCATTTTATTTAGAGAATGCCTAAATAATCCTGAACAGAGTGTTAGTAGAAATATGGACATTAAAGCCATTCTGATAAAACCTCAGATGGAAATGAGGAACATGTTATTGGAAACTAGAGGAAAAGTGCTCCTTGTTATAAAGTGGCAAAGAGCTTGGCTAAATTGTGTTCATATAATTCATATGTTAAAAAAAAAATAGAGAACAGGTAGAAGAAAACACATGATTTCACCAGATAATTAGAATCCTTTTTTAAAAAAAGAATTATATAAACATTCTCAAACTGAAAATACAACATGAGGAATTAATGCCTCACCAGATAAATTTAACTACAAATTAGGTGAAGCAGAAGATAAAATTAGTGTACTGAAAGACTAATTAATAGAAAACACTAAAATGGAAGCACAGAGATAAAGAAAAAATATAGAAAAATAGAGAAATGTATGACTAGATGAAAAAAAAAATCCATATATGTTATTGGAGCCTAGAAAAAAGGAGAAAGAATAAGGCAGAAGTAACATTTGAAAAATAATAATATCCCTCAAATAAAGGTCATCTACCCATAAACTCAATAAGTTCTGTGAACCTCCAAGAGAACAAATACATGGAAATTACATCAAGGCATATGTGATGGTTAATTTTATGTGTCAGTTTGACTGGGATAAGGGATGGTCAGATAGGTAGTAAAATAGTATTTCTGTGTGTGTATGTGAGGTGTTTCCAGAGGAGATTAGCATTTGAATTTTTAGGCTAAATAAAGATTATCTTCATCAATACAAGTGACCATGATTCAATCTGTTGAGGGGATGACTAGAACAAAAAGGTGGAGAAAGGCTGAATTTGCCATCTCTGCTTGAGCTGGTGTATCTTCTCCTGACCTTGGACATTGGCACTCCTGGTTCTCAGGCCTTTGGAGTTGATTGGTCATTGGTCTCCTGATTTTCAAGCATTTGAACTCAGACTGGGATTTACACCATTAGCTCCTCTGATTCTCAGGCCTTTCGATTCTGAGTTACACTATCAGTTTTCCTGCAGATGGCAGATGATGGGACTTCTTGACCTACATAATTGCATGAGCCAATTCCTATCATAAATTTTCTTCTTTCTCTCAGTTCTGTTTTTCTGGAAAGTCATGACTAACACAGATTTTGGTACTGAGAAGTGGAAGTGCTGCTGTAATGAATGCCTGAAAATGTGGAAGTAGCTCTGGAACTGGGTAATGGATAGAGACTGGAAGAGTTTTGAGGTGCATGCTAGAAAACACCTATATTGTTGTGACCGGATCTTTAAAAGTGATTCTAATGAGGGCTCAGAAAGAAAAGAGGAGCACTTTGGAGAAAGCCTCCATCTTCTTAGAGAATGCCTAAATAATCCTGAACAGAATGTTGGTAGACATATGGATGTTAAGGCCATTCAGATAAAACCTCAGATAGAAATGAGGAACATGTTACTGGAAACTCGAGGAAAAGTAATCCTTGTTATAAAGTGGCAAAGAGCTTGGTGAAATTGTATTCATGTTCTAGTGTTTTGTGGAAGGTACAAATCGCAAGCAATGAAATTGGTTATTTGGCTGAAAAAATCTCTTGGAAAATTGCTGAAGGACTGACCTGGTTCCTCCTCCTGACCGCTTATGATAGAAGCCAGAAGAAATGACTACAAGAGGAATTGTTAATCAAAAAGGAAGCAGAACTTAAAGATTTGGAAAAGTCTTAGCCTATTCATATTGTAAAGAAAGAAAAAGCCAGCTTTGGAGAAAACAGTAAGGGTGTGGCCAAGGGGCCTTTTGATAAAGAGATTAGTATGGATCAGCCGTCTCTGCAGAAGCCAGGAGATGTTCTCCAAGACAAGAGAAGACAATAGAAGAATGACCCTGAAGGCAATATAGAGATAATGGAGGCTGCCCCTCCCAGCATAGGACCAGAGTGCAAAGTCCCTTGGGGCAAAGAAGTTTCAAATATGGAGCCACCTGAGCCTGTGAGACCTCAGCATGCACTGCCCAATAGAACCTTACATTATGGGTTCTGATCCCCACCACTGGCTTCTCTAAAGTGTGGCTCTGGTGGGCCTGGTATAGTGTAGGCTGTGATGGCCAACCCTGTAGGCGGCACAGGTGGTAGATTTTGGTGGCGTCTGCAGTCTCTGCCAACACTTAGGGAGCCATGGCTTAGGCTATGCGTGGCAAAGCCACTGGTGCATGATTCTAGCCTAGGAGAGCCACAGGCCCCTGACCTCAAGTTAGCTTGAATGACAGAGGCAGAATAACCACCTGGAAGAGCCACAAACTTGGGACTCCAGCCAATAGCTGTGGAGATGGGACCACAGCCTACTGAGTCTGGAAGGCAGAGCATCAAGCAGAAGGTTATTCTGGAAACTTCAGGTTTAATGGAATTTTCCCTGTTGGGTTGGTTTGCTCAGAACCTGTCATTTCTTTCTTCTTTCCTATTCCTTTATTTTGGAATAGGAATATCTGTCCTATGCCTTTCCCACCATAGTATTTTGGAAGCACATAACATGTTGGTTTTAGAGGTTCACAGTTGGAAAGCAATCTGCCTTAGGATGAATTGTATACCTTGAGTCTCACCCATATCTGATTTAGATGATATTTAGATGAGATTCTGGACTTTGGATTTTTCAGTTGAGGCTGGAATGAGTTAAGATTTTTGGGCTGCTGGGATGGAATGAAATATTCCGCATGTGAGAAGGATGTGTATTTTGGGGGGCTTGGGTGCAATGCTATAGACTGAATGTGTCTCCCCCAAAACTCATATGTAGAAACCTAATTTCCAATGTGATGTTATTTGGATAGGGCCTTTGGGAAGTTATTAGGGCATGAAGTTATTAATGGAATTAGTGCCCTTATAAAAGAAACCCCAGAAAGCTCTTCCTTCCATCATGTGAGGTTACAGCCATCTATCAGTGAGAAAGTAGACCCCTGTCAGACACTAAATCTGCCAGCACTTTGATCTGGTACTTTTTAGTCCCCAGAACTGTGAGAAGTCAATTTCTATTATTTACCTAGTCTATGGTATTTTGTTATAGCAGTCTGAATGGACCAAGACACAAATCTTATGGTAAGGCCTGCTAAAAAAGTAAAGACACAGAGAAAACATTAAAAGCAGCCAGAGCAAAAAAGGCACATTACTTTCAAATGGGGGCAATAATAAAACCTATAGCTAACTAATCACCAGAAATAATGAGAACCAGAAGAATGAAAGTATCCTTAAAGTACTGGGGAAAAAAAAAGCCAACCCAGAATTCTGTATCCACAAAAATATTAAAAATGGTAAGATGCAAATGTTTCAGACAAGTAAAAACTGAGAGAATTCGGAGAAAGCAAACCTACACTATGATAATAGCAAAGGGAGAATATGATCCCACATGGAAGTAGGAAATTGTACGAAGGCGCTACAAGCAATGAGACAACATAAATATATGGGTGGTATGCATGAATGTTGATGATACAAACAATAATAGCAGTATATTGTGGGGTCATAAATATATGTAGAATTCAAATGCCTAACAATGATAATGCAAAAACATGAGAGTAAATGGAGTTCTAATGTCCTAGTATTTTCAGGGAAATGGTAAAAGGAATAATTTGTATTATACTGTAAAGCCAACTGGCTAAGGATGCACATTGTAATCTCAATGGAAACCACTAAAATAAAGTAAAAGAATGAATAAGAATTAAGAGATGGGAAACATTCAAGAAAATATTTGATTAATCTTAAAGCAAAGTAGGAATCAATGAAATATAAAACATGCATACAATGTAGAAAGTGAACAAGTCCAGTTACTGGCTCCTTGAAGAGGTTAACAAACTTGATAAACTCCTAGCAGGATTCTTCAAGAATAATCTTACTTTGGTTTGACATTTTAAAACTCGGTTAATGTGGCCGGGTGGGGTGACTCACACCTGTAATCCCAGTACTTTGTGAGACTGAGGCAGGCTGGATCACTTGAGGTCAGGAGTTCGAGACGAGCCTGGCCAACTGGTGAAGCCCTGTCTCCACTAAAAATACAAAAAGTAGCTGGGCACGGTGGTGTGTGCCTGTAATCCCAGCTACTCAGGAGGCTGAGGCAGGAGAATCACTTGAACCCAGGAGGCAGAGGTTGCAGTGAGCCAAAATCCTGCCACTGCACTCTAGTCTGAGCAACAGAGCGAGACTCTGTCTCAAAAAGAATAAAATAAAAAATAAAATCTGTTAATGCAATTTGTCACTTTAATAAAGTCGTGTTATTTTATTAGATTCAGAAAAAGCATATGATTAAATTCAATATTAACATATTCTTTTCAAGTTCTTTTGGCAAGCTAGGAATATATTCTGATAAAGAACCATACCAAAAAAACAAAAAACAAAAAAACCTGCAATTCATAGCATTCTTATTCTGATAAATTAAAGGCATTCCCATTACCATCAGGAACAAAACACAAATGTCTCCCTTGATCATTTTTATTCATTATTAAATTGGTGAACCCATCCAGCATGGTTGGAACTCCCTAAAAATAAAACTAGTAGGATCGAAAGAAAAAAAATTACACTGTTATTATTTCCAGCTAGTATGTTTAGATAATCAAAGACTAGAAGAAGCTATATATTATTAGAAAAAGAAAGTTTATAGGAAAGTTGTAGAATACTTCAATATATAAAAGTTAATTGTATTTTTAAATCCCTTTTATGATTGGATATTAAAGTTAATTAGGAATACATCTAGCAAAATATTTGTAAAACTTTTGTAGAATTGGAAAATTTTAAAGATAACCTAAATAAATGTAGAGATATGCTATTATTTATGGATGCTTTTGCTGTGATATTCTAATATGGTTTTTCCTTGCAGACTTTGCCTTCAAAAGAAACATTTTTAAACACTACCCAAATGCCTTGCCTGCAATCAGCTTCAACTTGGAGTAGCTATGAACGCAATTCAGAGTCTTACCTATTAAGAGACCATGTATCAGAGTTAGATTCCTCTTTCCATTCTGTTCTATCATTGCCATCAGGTAAGCCTCCTTGTAACAATTTCTAAGTAACGATATTTTCTATACTGAAATCTAATCCTCTAGATACAGAGAATCTAATATAATCTTATCAATTTTTTTCAGTAGATATTAGAACTAAGCAATGCCTTGAGAACTAAATTTGTTATAGAGGAATTAATCTAGTCACATGCACTGTTAATGTTTTATCTGTGTAAGTTGATTCTTTAATTCCTTCTAAACAAACTTGATTTACTTTGGGAAATTACTAGGTTTTTATCTTGTTAAATTTTGAGCATTTTATTGGTAACACAGCTGTGCTGTTGAAATGTTTCTGAGTAACCGTAATTCAGTGTTCTTTTTCTAATGTACTGTTATACATGGAGGTTTCCCTTCCATAAAATAGTTCTCCATTTATAATCTGCATTGAATTTCTCAATGCAGAGGGAAAACTGCGTACCTATAAGTATAGTCAACCTCAAGAGTATCAGTATTCTATAACTGAGTAAATGAGGCTTATACATCCTTACATCTCTAAAGTGTTTTTTATTTTATTTATTTATTTATTTATTTATTTATTTATTTTGAGACAGGGTCTTGCTACTGTTGCCCAGGCTGGAGTACAGTGGCATGATCATAGCTCACTGCAGCCTTGACCTCCTGGGCTCAAGCAGTCCTCCCACCTCAGCCTCCCAAGTAGCTGGAACTACTTGGTTGCATGACACCACACCCAGCTAATTTTTTAATTTTTTTGTAGAGATGGGGTCTCACTATATTGCCCAGGCTGGTCTTGAACTTCTAGCCTCAAGTGATCCTCCCACCTCAACCTCCCAAAAATGCTAGGATTACTCTAGGTGGTTTTCAATTTTCAGTTCTTGATTTTTGTGGAACCTTTTACACTCTTGTCTATATTGGAACTAAAGTAAATATTTAGGGGAGAAAGAAAATATCCCTCACATTGGTTATCTCAGGTTCTTCTCTTTATTAGGGGATATCTCAGCTTGGCTTTTGTTCCATTTTCCGCTTACAGTTCTAATGGTCTTTTAAATTCTCAAAATCAAGGGACTGATCCTATTTGTAAAGCTCTGTGTTTTGAACCTGTCCCCCTGCCCTGAATCTCAATTTAGTTTGTATCAGTAGTTGAGTGGCTTCTTAGCTACACCATTACCTTGATTTAAGTTTCTAACAAGAACTATTTTATTCTATATTTAAGGAAATCTTAATAATATGATGAAATAATCCATATAACAATAATAATGTAGCTAATATTTAGTATTAGCACATACTGAGCCATGTATATATTAAGCACATTACATTTTCTTGTTTAATTCTCACAACTCCATGAGAATAGATATCTTTGTTCTGCTCATCTGACATATGAGAAAACTAAGCTTCATGATATTACTCATCCAAGATTACTTGGCTAATAAATGATGAGCCAGGATTTGAGGTAGTCATCCTCCAGAACCAAACTCCTCACCATTACTTTACTGCCTGTTTTCTTATTAGCAAATATATTTCTCTGATGACATAACCCTGAGAGCTGGTATAAATACTCCTTATCCTAAGACTCTTATGTCCCCTCTAATAAATAAGATTAGATTGTTTATCTACTATTTCATTATATCCATTCCTTCTTACATTCAATAAAAATCTCAATACCTACTATATGTAAGTACTAAATAAATGCTAGGAGTATAAATACAAATAAATCCCTCAAGGGACTTGAATTCTAGTTTAAAACAGCTGAAAGGTAAACTAATAAGTACAATAAAAGGCAATGAAATAGTTTTACAAAAGCTGACAGGACACGTGTGGGTATTAAGAAAGGAATATAGACGGAACAACGACCTTTTCTTGTTAAATCATGTTTTCGCACAAATCACAAAGAACGGTGGTAGAATTGGTGATACTCTCCTTATAATATTGCTTTGGAGAAACAAATGCAACAAACTTATGTTTAGGTAATTGGAAAATATCAGAATCCTGAAATGTTTAAGGAGCATTTTAAAGAAGAATATTTAATTTTTATTCCCATTTTCATTTTGTCACCTAATTTTCATATGATCATTAATACCAAGATTCAAACTCATCTTACATCTGTCCCTTGGAACAAATTCCATGATGATACTCATGAACTAATTTTTGTTTTTGCATATTTTTCCACACTTGAGTATGGATCTGCCACTAAGATACATCCTTTGAAGAAAAGAGAATTTTTTTCTGTTTAAAATCCAGACCCAGCCAGGTGGGCACAGTGTTCATGCCTGTAATCCCAACGCTTTGGAAGGCTGAGGTGGGAGGATTGCTTGAGCTCAAGAATTCAAGATCAGACTGGGAACAAAATAAGACTTTGTCTCTAAAGAAAAAAATTTGTTTAAATTAGCCAGGCATGGAGGTGTGCACCCGTAGTCTCAGCTACTTGAGAGGCTGAGGTGGGAGGACTGCTTGAGCCCAGGAAGTGGAGAATGTAGTGGGCCAGAATCATGCTGCTGCACTCCAGCCTGGGCAACAGAGCCGGCCCCTGTCTCAAGAATAAAACAAATGAAAAATAAAATCCAGGCCCTTCCTGGGTCTATCTTCATTTATGTATTCAAATTAGTTTCCTTACAGTACCTTCTTTCAATAGCCAAATTTTCATTATTAACTGAGTTATAAAATATGTTCTCAAGGAAAAGTTAAGTGTCTCTTAATAAATACTTTTTAACATGATTTTGTTTTTTCATTCTTGGTTGAAAGAAAAAACCTTTAGTAAATGTGAAGCATAACTACTACATTGCTTAACTCCTCTTTCGTTGTGAGAGTACAGAATACAAACATAGTGAATTGAAAGTCTCCAAGCCTCTATTTATAAACAAAACTAGGTTGTCAACAGGTTTTAATCTTTATAAAAGTAGATTCATTGTGATATATAATATAGTAAAATAAGGGAATGTGAACTTTGATGTTTTCATAAAAGGTTGCATCTGACTTATAGTGGTTTTCTCCCAAGAAGTTAAAAGTATGTAATTTTTTGGAAATTTCATTACTTCAAATGCAAAGTTTGTAGGGATGGGATGGGAATGGATTTAGCAGGTGTAGGTTTTCTTAAAGACTTCTTGGGTATATTTGTTTCCATTCATCTGTGAATAGTATTTATTAATATTTAGAAGTACTGTTCATCTTATGTACTATTTCAGGAAGTTCATGAAGTTGTTTCTCTGTTAGCTTTTTAATTTGTTGATTAAGTGCACCTAACCAGTAATTTCTAAAATACTGCTACCAACATGCTTGGAAAGAGTATTTTGTCAATTCTGATAGTTGTTACATTTCAAACTTTTGCTTATTTTCTTAAGCTTATGTGCTATTTACAGAAAGAAAGCAATTTTAATGTTACAATCTGTAATCCTAGTATTACAAAGAGTGGTATTTGAAAATACCTTTTTTACTTTATTTTTCCAGATGTGCCTCTTCATTTTCACTTTGAAACACTGTTAAAAAGGACTGAAATAAAAGGCAATCTTGCTGAAAATAAATTTGTAGATGAATATATCATATCTCCATCACCTGGTATGTCACATTTACAGTTCTTGTACTTTATATGCCTTTTTATTTATGTCTTTATACTTACTATTTTTGCATTCTAAGGAAATAAAATTTAACAAAAGAATAAATGAAAATCCTTAATTTTTAATACTCACTTTTTACAAACCATGTACACATAAAATACAAGAACAATCTTAACATGAAATGTGCAATACCTATTGAATAATTATGAACTATTACTGATAAATATAATAAAAATTTAAATAAATATGGAAAAACAGTATTTCTGTATGGTAAGATCAATAAAGATATAAATTCTTCCTAATAGTTCATATGATTAATGTAATATAACTTGAAGTTCTCATAGAATTTGTTTAACTTAAAATAATTCTAAAGCACAATGGGAAGACTAAACGGGATAATATAAAAGGAATTACTATAAAAGTTTAGAGAAAATCTAGCCAACCCACATATGGAAACATGACAAAAATCTATAATAATGTAGATTCTATTTTGCTCCTATTTAAGAAAATAGATCAATGAAATAAACTCTATAGTTGATTATATATGAGGGAAGAATTGTATATCAGTGGGAAAGTGGAACATTTCTCATGGAGAAAATATTACTGTTAGTCTTTCCCAGTAGAATTCTTTTACATACTCATTTAATGCTATTAATCAGAATAACTTCTAGTTAATTCCAAGAATTGTACATAAAATGTTAAAACTACAAAATAAAACTTGAGGAAATTATAACGAAATGTTTATGAGTTCTATGAATGTGGGTGAATTCTATGCTTGGAAGCAATTAGAAGAAGAAAGAAAACAACATATTTTGATTAACCACAAAGTTAAAATCTAAACATCAGAAAAGTCTTATAAATTTAATATAAATTATTTCTATATGAAATAATCTACCTCAAAAACTCAAGTGAAATGAATACCTGTTAGAACTGGGGTATTATAAAATGAATTTATAAAAATCAACAGCTTTTATAAGTACCAATAGTAACTAGATAGCCTATGTAAAGGAATAAAATATGTTAGACACATTGACAATGAAAATATAAAGTATTTTTCATCAAACTTAACAAGTACCTACATGAGGACTACTTCAAAAGTTTAGTGAGAAACATGAGGACATTCCTAGATGGAGAGAAATATCCTCTTCCTGTCAGAAGACAGTATCATAACTGAAGTTGTTAATTTTCCCCAAATTAATCTACAAGTAGAATATAATCCTAATCAGAATCAGAGGTATTATTGGAACAAAGTTATTCTGAAGTTTATCTCAGACAGAAAATGTTGAATTAAATTTTTAGAAGATTAATAGCAGGACTATGAAGTTATGAAAACATAGTTCTGATAGAAGGCAGATCAAGGGAGCTTAAAAAAATTCTAGAGACAGAGTTGGTATTTCCTACTATGTTGAAAAAATGACTTAGTCAATAAAGAATGACAACAACAAATTCTTATGAAGCATCATGTATATGTCAGCACTGGTTGAAGGGCTTTATATTACTTATTTAAGTCTGTATAACTCTGTGAGGTAGGTATTATTATTCTCCTTGACTAATCTTCCCCAAATTACAGTTGAGTAATAGAAGAGCCAGAATTCAAACCCAAGCAGTCTGGCTTGGAGCTATGCTCTATATAACCAAGTTTCCTTTGTAATCAAAGGCATTAAATAACGACTCTTTGGAAGAATTAAAAAGTGAGATCACTAACTCACAAAGTGCTTTAAAACAAATTTAAGTTGGATGAACATTAAAATACATTTCAGATGGATTAAAACGTTCAATGTTAAAAATGAATGTCTTAAAATAACAAGAAAAAGTGTACTTGATGATAATGAAAATAATAATATTAACTGAGCTTATAGTCAGACACTATGCGAAAGTTTACTACTTTTGCCTATAACATTAATGATTTTAAACATAATCATCAAGTTTGGCACAACTATAGTAAAAATAGCGCCCTTAAATATCTTGGATATCAAGAATTGATACAAGCCTTTTGGGGAGCTCTGCGAAATGCATTACAAGGCCTTTAAACTATGTATTTTTTTTATAAGTTCAGTGTGGCTTAAAAACTCCCTTGTTTACTTTTGTACCTATTCCCCATAAATGTTTACCGACTGTTAACCCTATGTTCTGACCCAATTATTCCATTTCCAAGAATCTAGTCTAATCCTAAATATGAAACCTTTAATCACAACTATATTCATCTTATCATGTTTTTGTGATAAGGAAAAATTAGTGACAACTTGAAGAGCACAACAGGGATATGGTTAAATATACTACAGTGGAATATACAGCGTTAAAAAATATCTTAAAAGTTCATATAAGGATGGAAACATACTCATCAAAGAATGTTGTGATATAAAAGGATGAAAATATTTTACCTCTGTGTCTGGTACAATTATAGCCATGTAGAAATATTTATTCTTATATCAACCAAATGCAATGTGTGGACCTTATTGAGATTGATTTGAATAAACCTGCTGTTTATATACACACACATAATTTTTGAAACGAGAAATTTGAACATGGACTAGCTGTTAGATATTAATGAAATATTGTTAATTTTGCTACGTGTAATAATGCATTGTGGTTACATAAACCCAGATGCACTTTTTCAGTTTGTTAGAGATTCACACTAACATATATGCAGATGAAAAGATATGTCTGGGATTTGCTTTTGAATATTCTAGCAAAAATGTTGGTGGGAGAGATGAAATAAGATTCGTTGTAAGTTGTTCACTGCTGAGACTGAAGGATAGGTATATGGGAGTTCATTATTCTAGTCTCCTTTTGTGTTTACCTGAAATTTTTCCACAGCAAAAATTAAAGAGAAAAAAGATGAAGGCACCAAGGATGAAAAACAATTATCTATGCTAAGGGGAAAAAGCCTAAAATACAGAAAAATATAAGTAATATGTGCAGTTACCTTTTAATGATGCGAGTTCACTTGTTGGAATTTGTCCTAAGACTAGATTTTTTTCAAAAGGGAAAAAAATGTATCCATGAAGATGATTATTTTAAGAATGTCTTTAATAGCATTATCATTATGATGATAAGTATCATGGTCAACAGCTAGGAAATAGCTAAAGAACATTGTTTCTAATCAGAGGAATGTTATACAGCCATCTGAAAAAATAAGAGTTGTGATAAAAATATAAGTATACATTTAATTAAAATTATTTCATATTTGATATATGAAATATAAAACACGTATTATTGACAAAGAGTAGGCAAATATGAAAATATATGCTATTAGAGATTAATTATGTTTCTTTTAATGTTGTTCTACTATTTGATTTAAAAAAATAAGGCAGGTCGGGCGCGGTGGCCTACACCTGTAATCCCAGCACTTAGGGAGGCTGAGGCAGGAGGATCACTTGGGCCCAGAGTTCAAGACCAGCCTGGGAAATATAGTGAAACCCTATCTCCACAAAAAATACAAAAATTAGCTGGGCATGGTGGTGTGCACCTGTGGTCCTAGCTACTTGGGAGGCTGAGGCAGGAGGATGACTCAAGCCTGGGAGGTTGAGGCTCCCACTGAGCCATAATTACACCACTGCACCCTAGGATTGGTGACAAAGTGAGACCCTGTTTCTAAAAAAATAAAAAACAAAAAATAAGGCAGTTAAACGTGTTAGGCACACAATTAAGGGGAATGCATGAATAACGTAATGAGAAATTTCATCCTATGTATCTGTCTTAAATAGCTGGTCATTAATTTTTCTTTTGCTATTAGTGATTAGAGTTCAGAATTTAAGCACTTAGTGCCAGGCAGACTATTAAGTGCTGAAGAATCAAAGGTGAATTACAGGAAGTCAAAATTGTAATGGAGGAAGACACAAATAACTGTTATATAGTATAATGGGGATAAACACATTTGAAGGCTGAGTGTGGTGGCTCATGCTTGTAATCCCAGCACTTTGGGAGGCTGAGGTAGGGGGATTGCTTGAGCCCAGGAGTTCAAGACCAGCCTGGGCAACATGGCAAAACCCTGTCTACAAAAAAATATAAAAATTAGGCAGGCATGGTGGTGCATGCCTGTAGTACCAGTGACTTAGGAGGCTGAGGCAGGATTGCTTGAGCCCAGGAGCTCGAGGCTGCAATGAGCAATGATCGCACCACTGAACTCCAGCTTGGGTGACAGAGTGAGACTCTATCTTAAAAAGAAATTATATAAGATATAAAAAAGGAGTATGTAACTCTGCTTAGAAGGCAAAAAAAGAGAGGTTAAGGGAGATGAGAAATGGGCAAGGAGAGGAACTCTAGAAAGATGGTGATGCCAAGTGCAGCTTCAACTAATGAATTGGAATTTACAGAGAAAGAAGGATGAAGTGTTCCAGATTAGTGCTTCTCAAACTTTAAAATGTAAACAAGTTACTTTGGGGATATTGTTAGAATGCAGATTCTGATTTAATAAATCTGGAATGGGACCTGAAATTCTGCATTTCTAACGAGGTCCCAAGTGATTCAGATGCTGTTGGCCCATATTGAGTAACAAGTCTTTAAAGAACAAAAACAAACATATGTCTTGTCATGGAGAAGACACAGTATGATATATTCAAATATCTATAAATAAGGACAGGTGCAGTGGCTCACGCCTGTAATCCTACCACTTTGGGAGGCTGAGGCGGGTGGATCACCTGAGATCAGGAGTTTAAGACCAGCCTGGGCAACATGGTGAAACCCCGTCTGTACTAAAAATACAAAGACTAGCCAGGGGTGGTGGTGCACGCCTGTGGTCCCAGCTACTTGGGAGGCTGAGGCATGAGAATCGCTTGAACCCAGGAGGCGGAGGTGCAGTGAGCTGAGATGGCACCATTGCACTCCGGCCTGGGCAACAGAACAAGACTTCATCTCAAAACAAACAACAAATATCTATAAATAACTTGGCATTCCGGTAGGGCAAATTGCGTGAAGGCAGTAGACAGATCTTTGCTTGGATTTATCCTGTATGGTCCATTAGATTTGGCAGTTTACAATGGAATTGCTGATTTCAGGCAACAAGCAGAGAAAAGCCAAACTGTAGTGGGATGAAGAGTGAATGATGACTAGTTTAATCATGAGGAATACCAGACAAAACCAATTTAAGAGTTTATACTTATCAAAATATTCAAAGTTATGAAAGTTATGGAAGACAGTAGAACTGTTTCAGATATAAGACCTTAATGAGATCTGACAACTGCAATGCCATCTGCAATGAATAGTTGAAACTATCCGTAAATAACATTATATATTGGTGAAATCTGAATAAAGTCTATAGATTAGCTAATGGCACTGAACTGCATGGCTACATAAGAGAATGTCCTTTGTTTTCAGAAATACATTGATGTTTTTAGGGCTAAAGGGGCATCATGACAGCAACTAAATTTCATTTGTGGTCTGAAAGGAGGTAAAGCAAATGTGATACGATGTTAACATTTGGGGGATTTCAGAAAAGGGTCTACAGAAATTTGTTCTATTTCAAGTTTTCTGTAATTCTGAAATTATGTCTCAGATAGATGGAATAGGAGGAAAAATAGCACCATAACCCACACAAGCAAGCCAGAAACATAAAGCTCAGTTTTTGTCACCTACACTTCCTCCTGTCTAAACCAATTGCCAAGTTGTCAATATGATCTTATGTGTTTCCTTTCTTGCCTTCGACTACTCTCGCAGTCCACCATGATCTCTTATCTATACTTCTGAAATAGACTTTTAATCCATGTTTCCCCTTTAATCACTGTAGGCAGTGATCTCTTCAAAATGCCAATCTAATGTCACACCTGCTCCCCACACCATCCCGTTAAAACATTCGAGAAGGAATATTCTTAACACCTTAAAGCCCTATCTACATAGGCTGGCCCCTCCCTCATGATTCTTTCTCACCATGCTTCCTTACTCTACACTACATAGCTGTTCAGTTCCCAAACTTGTCCTGTTCCCTTGGGCCATTGTACATGCTATTCTCCTCCTTCCCCTAGCTATCAGCTATTTCTGTTCATATTTAGAATCTATGACTTCATCTGGGGAAGCCTTTCCCAGAGCTCTTACTAGTACTCTTATACATTCTCAGTAACATCATGTAGTTTCACAACTGAAATGCATATTTTTCTATCACGTTACGATTGCATTCCTTGAAATAACACCTGTAAACTACAAGGGCTGCTACAAATCCTAGTTTTGCTTACCTAGGGTTTAGAATAGTGCTTGCCATGTAATTGGATCTCTGTAAAGTTGTTGGATGAATAAAAGGGAAGGAAGTAAAGACAGGATATATGAGAAATGCTATCAAAGTGTGATCTTAGGATGAACTCTACGAGAGGATTGGGAGAGCAAGAACTGAAAGGCTGGGAGGTTTATCAATAGAATAGGTGAAGAGGATGTGTAGAATTGTCATACATTTCCTACTGTTTCAAGGGTCCATGAAAACCTTACAAGACAATAACGAATTAGAAGGAAAATGATAAATGTGAAGAAAACATCTGAATAAAATTTAATTTAAAAATCAACTTCTGTGAAAGATTCTTTCACAAAGTTTGATGTTTTCAGAAGAGTGGAAAATTGCTTGTAGAAAACAAGAGAAACGTTAATTGTCTACAGTTTGCTTAAATGCTACAGCAAAATGTTATTAAAAGAATACCTACATACGTTTTAACATATACATTTTAAAATCCACCTCTCACAATTCTAGTTACCATTTTAGTCAGTTTAGATTACTCCTGCCATGCTGTTTTCTTGTATTAATAACTTTCAGGGTATCATCATCTGTGATGCACTTATGATTTAATTTTTATTTGCTGTTTGACATTCAGGTGCATCGCTGAAATCTTAGGGTTTAATATTGATTCTGGAAAACACTTTATCCTTTCTTCAACTATTCCCTCCTTTTCATTCTCTCTAGTCTCATCTGTTACCCCATTCTGGTCTTTTTCCCTCCATATTTTCTATCACTCTATTCCATCCATCAAGATATGGAATTCCTCTTCCAGACCTTGATTTTGATTTTCAGCTGTTTCCATTGTTACTTAGCCTAGTGATGATTTTATCATTTGGACAATTATATTTTCTATTTCTGACACTTCTCCAGAGGGCCTCTTACCTGTTTCTCTTGGCAATATTAACTGTTAAAAAGAGTTGCTAATATGCATTCCATGAATGCTCCATTATTTCTTGAGATGGTTCTCCACTTGTGGTTTGTACCTGTTTTTTGATTTAGTGTTGGTATTCAGATTTTTGGAGTTTTCTATGCTCATCATTGAAGCTGTGATACTCAGTTAAAACTGTTCTACCAGTGCTGTTTATCGGACACTTCTGATGGGAAGGGAATTTATACTACATTTGAAATTTTCACACTAATTTGGGGATGGGCCGGACATTTCAAAGCGGGGCACTTTGGCATTGCCTTCTCTCTCCAACCATTCATTTATCTGCCTAAAGCTGATTTTGTTAGTCTGACTGAGATATTGACATGTGCAGTCAATATCCAGATAGTTGTCCTGCTTCCAATTTTCCTTTCTTGTGGGTCTAGACCACCTTTGGTGGCATCGCACCTCTTTGTGGCAGTACTTCACTTTGTGCTTCTGCTCTGGGTTTCCTCTTCAAATTCCATATAGTATTAATCTTTCAGAGATTCCTCAGAAATTCTGCCTTAGAAGTTCCACTTTTTGCTTGCAAATATGGATTTATATGTGCATATCTGTGCATGTACCTATGTAAAAAGTATTTGTCTATCATATTTAAGGTCATTTGCCATCTTGAAACCAGACGCTCCTTGTCAGCTGGTAGGCCATGCCCTTTATTTCAATAGTGTGAGTTTGGCACTTCAGCTTACGTATTTCTTTTTTCACTCCTTTCCACATCTCCAAACCTTTCAAAAAAGGAAGCCAATTTGGTTATTAGACCAAGGTTGGAAATAAGGGGGTTCAGATATACAATCATGGTAACGCTAACATTTACTGAACACTTATCACGTCAGATGCTTTTACTTACTGCTACAGGAATAAACTCAAGTAATCATTATAAACCCAAGGTCGCTATTATCCCTATTTTACAGATGATGCAACTAAGGCATCAGAGATGTTAAATGATTCAGGTTCTTGCTCTAGTCTCACCATGTTGAATCTTACTTGGTCCCAAATGATTTCCAGATTTAGGGTAAGCAAGAACTTAAAGATTCTGATGATCGCCAGGATTTATGTATCTGAGCCAATCCTCACTCTATAAAGTTTCTGTAATTTGGAAGACTTTGAGAACAGATCATCTTCCCTTTTCATTCCCCTCAAAAAAATGAAGAAAATACAAGAAACTGGAAATTCCTGGGGATGTTTTTAGTTGGAGTTATCTGTCTTGGTATTTAAGGTTATATTTATCTGTAATTTTGAAATGGTATCTTAAAATTCTGCAGTTACAAATAAAAACAGATTAACATGTTCACTGTGTTAAGGAACTAAAACTTAAAATTTCCTTTTCATTTGTTTTAGTACATAGTACTTCTCTGAATCAATGGAGAAATGGATATTCACCTATATGTAAGCCTGAAATAAGGTCAGAATCTTCTGCACAACTGTTACAGGGAAGAAAGAAAAGACATTTGAGTGAAACAGCATTAGGTAGGTTAAAGTGAGGATATAAGCAGTAGTTATGTTAAAAATAAAAAATTCTGATTTTAAAATAACCTGTCTCATGGGAGTTTATAATCCAGAACAGCCACTAATTACACAAAACATCTATGACTCTACAAACATGAAACAGCATATTCGTAGTTAATTTAGAATTATTTGTGGACTGGTATCTACCTATTTTTTGGCAATTGTTTCCCTCCTATGTTCCCTGACTAGTTGTCTTCTACCAATCACTCCCTGGATGGGATTTAATCTTCAAAGTTGTGTTTTAGGCTCAAAATAGGCTAGTGTAAAGTTGCCTTATAGAAACTGTTAACCATTTATGGTACCTACTGTGGAGATGCTGATGCACTGCAGATTCCTCAGGATTTTGAGAAAGTGAACAAGCTTCAAGTGAAATGCTAAACTACCTTGTTCAATTCTCCTTACAAGCCTATAGAGTTCCAAGATGATCAAGAGAAAGCTTTGGAAACTAGAACTCTTCTAGTAATACAAAGGGATTTATTTTGGAGATTTGGGACAAGATAGTTGCCACAGTTATTGCAAATGATAAAAAATAAAAATTAATTGGCAAGATAAATTAGAAACTAATTACACCCAAGATGTATTAATTATACAGAATGGATTTAATCTGTTTATCTCTGGTGTCTTCAGATATCCCATGATAAAAGACCTACCTAGTCACTACCTGATAACTATCTGATCAGCTACATTGTAGCAAACAGTGAACAAATTCCCACACATGTTCAGAGTTGGTTTCATTAGGCTCTTTAGTGTCTCACTCTAAGAACAACCAAGTATCACCTAGCTTTTGAGGAACTTTTATATATGCATACCAAAACATAACTAAGCTTAAAAAAAAATCTAATAAGATGCAACATGAAGTATACATTACCTAAGGTATAAAATGTTTCTCTTAAATTGACTGATACTTTAGCTCTAACTTCAAGTTTAATGTACATACAGGAATAAAACAAAGAAATGTCATACTACACAGAAATAACTAGATAATTCCAAAAGGATAGGACGTCTGGTCCAGCCTGTCAAGGCAATGTAATGAAAAATGATTTATTCTAGACTATAAGAAACCTAGGAGACAATGGCCAATTTTAACATGTAGATCCTTATCTGAAGAAACTAGCTATAAAGGACGTTTTTTAACAAATGGAGAAATGTAAATATGGACTAGGTATTAGATTTTATACAGGAAAATATTCTCATTTTAAAAGATCTGTACTAAAATAAGGGCAGTACGTAAATGCATACATATATATATTTACTGTATACACACACACAACAGGGAACCAAAACAGGGAAAAAAAGGAACTTGGAAGAAATACAGAAAATACTAATAGAAGTAAACTTCTAATCAATATCCTGAGAGAAATGAGAAATTTCATCTACGAAACAAGAACAGGATGCTATTTAAAAAAAGAGTACTAGAGAACAAGTACTTTTGGAAATATGTATTTTAATAGCAGCATTTTTTCAAAAAATTCAGAGTGTTCAGAAGACCAAGGACAGACACCTCACAGAAATTAGAATAAAAAGTCAAATATGAAAAATGAGACTAGATAAGAAAACTAAGATAGTTCTGGTGGTTCAACCACAAATAGGAGTCACAGGAAGCAAGAATAAAGGGATGAGATGAAGGATTATTCAGGGAACAATATGAAATATATTGGATAAAAACTGCCAAAATCCCAGAAAATGGAGATAACTCATGGTATGACTGTAAGACTCTTCTTTTTTCATTTCCTTGTTTTCTAATACACGAATTAAAAAAAAAAAAAAAGGAATCAATCACCTGTCATCTAATTAGGAAAGTAATTCTAATGATACCTATTAGTCATGTTTAATGTGTGATATTCAATGGCTCTTTCCACGGCAGGAGAAAGAATTAAACTTGAAGAATCTGATTTTCAACACACAGAATCAGGATCCCATAGCAATTTTACAGCTGTTTCTAATGTCAACGTTTTATCAAGAATCCAGAATTCATCATCACGAGTAGGTTTTTCTCTATGTTGAACTCTAAAATTGCTTTAAAAATAAAAACACCTGACTTTGAAAATAATTTATATTTTGCTAATCTATAACAGGCTTATTTACTAGCACATATTAATAGACATTTATAACTATCTTGTTACAAAACAATAAATTTGATTTATGCAACTTATTTTTAACTATGAAGCCAAAAGTTCATTAATATTTGGTTATAGCTTCTTTTTAGGTGTTAAAAATTTAGATTATCATGATCATCTCTATTCCTTAACATACGAAGCTAAATAAAATCTTACTAATGAGAATTCAGGACTTTTCTTGTTCTTATCCTGCTTTTTTGGTTATCTGGCCAGGGTACAGAGAGGTCAAAAGGTGGGAGTGTTTAGAAATGAACAGTCTGAAGCTCAGGAACCAGGAACGCATAAATGAAGAGTATACTGAAGGGCTGACCAAAAATATTTCACTGCCTTTCCTAATAAAAAGTGGGTTACTGATCATTTCATTGACATTTAGGGTGATGTATGTTAGTCTTTTCTGATAAAGAGTTTTGCATTTAAGACATTTTTTTTATGGTCTTAAAAATAAGCTTGTATGCTTGCACACATAAATATATTACACATCTACGAAGAGATTGTTCTGATTTACAAAATACAGAAATATTTTCTTACTTAGTTTTCTGAACACATTTTAGACTTTATAACAATGTATTTACAAAAATTATGTAACATGTGTACTGCCATATTTATATAACTGATGAAAGGAGGGTATCATTACAAGTAACTAGACAGTACTGTAAATCTACTGTAATCCTGCTTTGCAGAATACTGCACGACGGAGATTGAGAAGTGAGAGCTCTTATGACATAGATAACATTGTGATTCCCATGTCATTAGTAGCCCCAGCTAAATTAGAGAAACTCCAATATAAGGAAATACTTACTCCAAGGTACGTATACTCACATCTTCATATTTTTCCTTCTTCCTTCCTTCCTTAATAAACTTAAATTTTCAAAGTGAATTTCAAATTTTAATTAATCAAAGGAGGATCCTTCTCCCAGTTCTTTCATAGCCATGGAGGGGAAACGGTGAAAAAAAAAAAAAAAAAATTACTCATGCCTTTAGAAAAAGTGTTATATAGTATCACAGTTTATTTCTGAGTTTTCATTAAGATTTGGGAATTCCTAGACTACTTTAGCATTCTTAGTCTTTATTATTCAATGTCATTTAGTTATCTACTGTGTATATGACACTAAAAGGCACTTTAGTGACATAAAAACTATAGCAACAAATAATCCTTGCCCTTAAAGATACAGGTGTGACATAAGTTGCAAAGAGTTCTGCCTTTTCATGGGGTATTCACACTGTAAGACAGTAATACCTGTGACCAAAAAAAAAAAAAAATTGTGATGTATTGCCAAGTCAGCAATAAACACATTCAAAAGATGAGTGGGAAGGTCTGGGAAGTCACCCATGAAGGAATGAGAAGGTGGAGAGGGTATTTACATAGCGATACCACAACAAAGGCACAGGACAAGTGTGTAAGGTTTAGCCAGATACTGTTTTGTGCAGGTTGATAATGGGAGGCTAGAAACAAAGGTCCAGATTGTGGAGGTCCCTGAATGCCATACGCAGATCTGCTCCCTACTGGCAGTAAAGTTAGCCCAACTTTTTAGAAATGATGAGTGCAGTTTCTTAAGAATATAAATATGACACCAGGAAGTAGAGACAGAAAAGGTTGCAAACAGAGACAGGTGGGTGACAATTTCAGTTAATTGCTATACATCTCTATTCTAATTTCACAATTTCTTTTATTCATAATTACCTTGAGGTATCAAGAACTCTAATATTCTATAAGAGTTCTACTATGAGAACTCCTATAATCTGTGGATACTTGTTGCATAAGTAATGAATAACGTTTGTGGCTATGATGTTCTATAGCAAAAATATATTTCAACTTGCAATGGTAGGCTGGAGCTAGCTGGCTGAGTAGATAGTTAAATATAGAAGACTTCTGTGAGCCAGTTATTAAACTACTGATGACTCAAAAGGGGCTACGGTAGGTATTTTCACACCAAAGAAACTGGCAAACATACAAACCAGGGTTTTTTTCCTTCTGTTACTTTTTGGCCAGGCCAGGTTTATCAGCATACCACTAACTTCAGTCAGTACATAATTATTATGTATAAAATGCAGCTATACAGAACAGACTATTCACCATAAAGCCAAAAGTCACGTCTCATTTTCTCTTTTATCCTTTACTCATAATACAAATATTTTTCTTTTAAAAAAATTAAGTATTAAAATACAATTTGAACCATGGAAGTGCCAAAGAAAGAAAATACTAATACACTTAGCTGTGCTTAGAGTATAAAATTGCCACATTTAGATAAATAAAAGCTGTTTAACATTGGTTTTTCTCTTCAACAGCTGGAGGATGGTTGTTCTTCAGCCTTTGGATGAATATAATTTAGGCGAAGAAGAGGTAAGCTGCCTTTCATTTAATGGGATAATTATACATTATGTATAATGAAACCTGCTTACTTTGACATTCAGGGAATTAAAGGAATATATAAACCCTTTAACTTACACTGATTTTTTTTTCTTTTCACTTATGAAAAGGAAGTTCTTTTAAAAGAATATTCAAAAAATGTTTTGTGCAAATTTGACTACCAGCATAATACACAAATACACAATAATTTAAAAAGCCAAAAAAAAAAATACAGCATTTGTTTATGAGTTTTTGAGATACTGAATTTACATGAATATCCACATTCATTGTCAGTATTATATTTTTCTGCATGAGATTAGTCTCACTCATTATTTTAAGGTTTAAATGCCATTTTCAGAATCGTAGGGCCAATTTGCTCTTCAGTTTGGAAAATTTCGGACTTTAAAAAAGTAACGTGGTATATACATCATGTAATACCTGTAGAGTTTAGGGTGTAAGAGGAATCAGACATTAATGTTTCTGTAGTGAAATATTCATAGTTGAGTTGGATAAACACTAAAAATAGCCTCACATCATTACAGATCAGGCTATGTCACCAAATGAATTCTGAAAAATTTGTTTTTGCAGATTTTTGGATTTTGGAATTGCAGGTAAGGGGTTGTGAATATGTATGGATAAAATTTTATCAAGATAAGATTATAGGGAAAAACACTTTATAACCAAACTAATTCCAAAGTGATGGTCTCTAGAAGACACTGTTGAAGACACTTAGTTTCTGTCAAGTAACAATCTTTCTATGTCCAGTGGTCATGTTTTTCAACTACCAAAATTTACCTTTTAATGCCCTTTCCTCTTCTAATGTATTCTTCCTCATTTCTGAATGATCCTAGCCAAGAAACCCAAATTCTTAAATACCATAACCAAGGTAGTATTCCAGGTTCGAAACCTAGATAAGTCATTCATTAAATTAATTCTGATTTAAGCTAGTTTTATACTTTTCTTTGATATTAATATCTTAGAATAGTGTGTCCTCCACAATCCATAAAAGCTCTTGAATGAACAAAGCATTAAGACTACTGGTACTAAGCTATGGCAAATGGAAAGCACTATGAACTCATTTGTAGTCTACCGAAGTCTTCAAATATGAACCAATAGTAAACAAGTATTTTTAATTTTTTTGAGGTGGGAGGATCGCTTGAGCCCAGAAGTTCGAGGCTGCAGTGAGCTATGATTGCATAACTACACTCACTACAGCCTGGGCAACAGAGACCCGTGTCTAAAAATAACAATAATAAAATAATTTTAAAACATTTTTGACTCCCCTTTTATAGGAATTTGAAGTTCATCTGATAACATTTGTTCTCTCAACTTACACAGATAGCATTTTAGTTTGCTTCCTACTGTTTTCTACATGAGAAACTCTTTGAAACGTTGAAACTCAATCTTGTATTTCTTTTTTTGAGACAAGAGTCTCACCCTGTCACCCAGGCTGGAGTGCAGTGGCATGATCTTGGCTCACTGCAACCTCCGCCTCCTGGGTTCAAGCAATTCTCTGCCTCAGCCTCCCAAGTAGCTGTGATTTCAGGCACCCACCACCACGCCCAGCTAATTTTTGTATTTTTAGTAGAGACAAGGTTTCACCATCTTGGCCAGGTTGGTCTTGAACTCCTGACCTCGTGATCCACCCACTTTGGCCTCCTAAAGTTCTGGGATTACAGGCGTGAGCCACCGTGCCCAGCCTGATCTTATATTTCAAAATGTTTCTGATTAAAGCAAAAATATTTATTTCTAATTCCAGATAGAAGATCTTTCTGATGAAGTCTTCTCCCTAAGGCACAAAAAATACGAAGAGAGAGAGCAAGCCAGGTGGTCACTATGGGAGCAAAGCAAGTGGCACAGAAGAAATAGCAGGCAGGTTATAAATTTAAAACCCCAAACCATAAAATTCATGTGAAATGAACAAAACCTCTGCATGAGTTTTCGGTGAGACCACTGAAAAGGAAACCATGATGTTGTAACATCAGCTATTTGTGCACCAGAAGTAAAATACTACACAGAATGAGCTTGTATTCAAAATATATTTGAGCTAATTCTATAATGATGAAATTAGTTTCTGTATTTTACTGTTTCTTACGTTGTCAGCCTCAGGAATAGATTTAACTAACAAATAATGGAAAATTCTCTGTATATATGAAGTAGTTCATTTCAATCTACTTTAATAATGGACCTCACACTGGGGACTGGAGTTTAGGTAATCCATTTTAACATCACTACTACTAAAATATGGTTTTTTTTAAAAAAATAAAAAATTTATCAAGAAACCTGTTTAGTCTAAAATGCAAAAAAGCCTAAAATACTTTTAGAAACACAAATGAGCTTTGAGGGAAGGGGAAGTAAATCAGACATAATTATTATGTGAGAAAATCCCTGTTATTTTATATTTATTATACATTTGATCATTTTTAAAAGAGCCAAAACTCAAAAAGCAAGATTGTGTGAAGTCTGGTAGTCGTTTTAGTTAAGGAGTATCTTTTGTTTAATTAGTCAGACAAAAGACAAAAACAAACCAAATAAACAGCAAGAACACCCCTCCCCCTATTATAATTCAGTAAAATATTTCATAAAGTACTGTTTCATCCTCTGAGTACGAAAGTAATAAATAGCACCAAAGGAATTTTTAAAAATCTTGGGGCAAAACTGTTTAAAGTTACCAAGTTAACTTGACTCAGTGATACCTTGGGTTGTTCATAAATTTTCAAGACCTCAAAAAATAACAAATAATTGTGTTTTCCTGATTTTCTTGCCAGAGCTTACAGTAAAAATGTTGAAGGACATGACTTGCTTTTGAAAGAATACCCTAATAACTTTAGTAGCAGTCAGCAATGTGCTGCTGCAAGTCCTCCTGAGCTTCCTTCAGAGAACCAGGATCTGTGTGCATATGGCTTACCTTCTTTAAATCAAAGCCAAGAAACCAAGGTAAGTGCAATATATATGATTAAACTTCCCATTCCTTGCCTTTTAACTACTTGTTTGTAGAAACTACTTGAAAAAAATTAATTTTCTTTATTACATCATTACATAACAAATTCAATAAGATAGTTAGGTAGAGAAGATCTGTATTCCAGCATTTTGTGTCCACTACTAACTACAGTCACCTTGTGTAACAAGTCAATACGAACCTCCAAGTACTCATTCATCTATTAGAGAATGGAGGTACTATCAAAGTTTCATTACAAAACAAACCTGATTGATGAAGAATAGCATCTGCTACATGGTCAACGTTAGCTGCTATTTCTTTCTCCTCATATCTTAAGATTTTTACATGCCTCACCACAGACCCAGTTCCTACCTTAAAGGTACTGCTTTCTAACACTGCATCCATAAAATTTTTACACCTTTCTTCATAAAGAGACACTGAAAAAGAACTAGATCTAGAATGGAATGGAGATTATAGAATTAATAGGCAAGTTGCAGAAAGCTCAGGAAAGAAAAAGTTAATAGGTACCTTTAATAATGAAAATGAAGACACTGTAGAAGTATATCCAACCTGAGAACACTTTCCCAAAGTGCTCTTAGGTTGGAAATGAAGACCACTGCCTGTGGCAGCATTTCCTCTTCTTGGCAGAGGCAAAGTAAAGAAATAAATCCCAAAAGTCACTCAAGAATTCTCAGTATATTCCCTTTTGAGTTGCTATTTAAGTTGAAATGAAAATTTGTACATTTATGTGCTAAAAGAACAGAACAATAATTATTACAATATAGATATGTACAGATTACTTGTTAGATGAATTTAAACAAAACAAATTAGTTGAAACTTAACTGAAAATGTTTCCCCTTTCAGTCTTTGTGGTGGGAACGACGGGCTTTTCCACTGAAGGGTGAAGACATGGCAGCCTTATTATGTGAAGATGAAAAAAACGATCAGGTTGAATGGTCAAGCACAGCTTTCCATGGTGAAATCTTCGGTACCAGTGTACCAGAGAATGGCCACCATCCAAAAAAGCAGTCAGATGGAATAGAAGAATACAAAACCTTTGATCTAGGACTTACTAATGTTAAAAAAAATAGGTGACAGGGAACAGGTTAAGAAAACTATGTAAATGTAGGAAAGATGGGAGGAAATAAAGCCCTGTTCTGGATCCCCCATCCCCTCCAGAATAAGAGCATGTTCTGCATGTATTAATCTTTTATGCTGTTTATGAAACAGGCAAGATAAGTCTGTTTTTCCTTCTGAACCACAAGGGTAACCAGCTTTTCATCTACAGACAAGTGGTAGTCATTTGTGTTTATCATGCAACTTACAAACACCAAGATATTAATTGCTGCAACTTGATGTCAAATCACCTTACTGGGTAATTTTTAAGACTATGTACCCACACCATACATACATACACATATATACACATACATACAAACCTGTGCGCCAAGTGACAGCTATTTTTTTATATACATGGTAATTCATTAAAATTGCCTTAATATTAGAATATACAAATATGTGTGTATAAAATAAACACACACACACACATCCCCCTATGTAGTTTTTGAAACACTGGCAATGACCCACTCCCCTTGGAAATGCATGTATGAACTACCCTATGAAATGTAAGCTGCAGTATAGATAAAACACAGGTTTCCACTGATAAAAGACATCTGAACATCTTGAATATAGAGATTAAAAGTTTTTTGTTGTTTTTTTTGTTTAACATGTTTAACCAACAGTAGAAGTTATTTACAGAAATTTATATACCAGATAACACAAAACTTCTTTATCCAAAATCATTGATATCTTTGGGACTAAACACAGGCTACTTTCTGTTTACTCCTAACAAAATAAAGCAAGCAAATTTGAGTTAAATATTGGTGCAATTTAATACTATCACATCTTTGAAAACTCAATTTGAGTTTTACCAATTAATGTGTCTCATGAAGACACCAATTTAAAATGAGCCACAAACAGTGAAGTCCTATCAGTATAAAATTTGAAAAAAAAAATGATTGTATTTCTAGATTAGCAAGAAATTAGTAATTCTGCCTGATTTCTATTTCTAGCTAATTTGGTCATTCTTTGCCATAGCTTACTCTATTCAAATAAACATATATTCTTGCTTGCATCCTAGATTGGGAATTAAACATTTTCAAAAAACAAAGCTTCAATATTTGGATACTAAAGAGTATATATGAAAGAAAATTCCTTTTGAAGCTATAAAACCATTTTTTTCTATGTGAAAGTTGAGGACAATTTATATAAATCACTTTTTGTCATGTAAAAAGGTTATTCAAGTTGTACTACCCACATAACTGAAAATATTGGCCATTTGGCCTAATCTGTGAGATCTGACACTAAGTTTTTGTTAGAGATTGGAAATTATATTAGTCCTTTTAAGGGGTAAAAAATCCAAATTCAATACTGACAAACTTTTGCTTGTAGTTTTACTGTACATTTATTTTTAAAGAAAAAGAAAACAAAAGCCAGACAAACCCAAGTTGTCCAGGCAAATAAACTCAAATCTTTGTCATGTCTGATATTATAATCTTCTATGTAAGTTTTTTAATTAAAGTTATTTCTATATACTTTGTGTTGCTTGTTATTAAATGTGACCTATTCATGGCACAAAGCTTTCCTAAGCTGAAATAAAAACAAACATTAACACATTTTTACCTTGTAATGCAGGAAGAAACCCAAGCAAGCTCTAGTCTAAGCTTAACTGTTAGCATTCTTACTTTTTGAACCTTATTTCTCAAAACTTATAGTAGCCTCAAGAAGTCTATTGATACTGGTCCTGATATTTCTTGCCATATTTATAACATAGCAAGAATATTTACAGGAATGAAATAGCTGACACATATTTTTAGACTCTCTATAATTCAAACAGTTATAAATACTTAGTTTATGGATTGACTCTGCATCCTGTCATCTTTTCGCCTACCTGATCTTTCTTGGAATAAAATAATATATCCTTGGGGTCAAGATCCATAGTTCCAGAATATTCTCAGCCATCTGGTTCTGCTACAGTGTAAAATTAGACTGGAAATAAGACAATGTTAAGTAAAAAGCTTCTTACCTAACCGACCTCCCAAGGGCTCCATTTGTAAAAGTGCAGACCAGAAATTCTACTACTTCCTAGATCCTTTCAGGGTACCATCCTACTACTGAGCATTAATTTCTTCATTTTTTAAATGGGGACAAAAATACCTGCTTTATTATTACCACTTACTTATAGAGGTGATTTACAGATTTAATGAGAATATATCAAAGTACTTTATAACTCACGAAATATAAACTTATATAATGCTATCTACTTTGTATTGAGCATATTCTAAATTCTGGGACTAGTACTGGAAACTTTAGGCATATAGTGTTACCTCTTAATTCTCAACACAACCCCACAGTTGTTATAATTACATTTAATGTATAAATGAGTTAGGAGAAATGCAAAAAAGATTGGGTGATTTGTTAAAGGTCCAGCTAGAAAGGGGCGGTCAGAATTCAACCCAATATTACTTCCAAACAGAGGTTTTACTTTTTCCTCTCTACTCAGAGCTAACACAACAGCATTATTTAACGTCCTTAAGAATGGTGGGGAGGAATCACTGAATAATCTGCTTTGACAAAACACCCTGATAAAATCTATGCTTGTATTTTAGAACCCCTGGGTTTCATACATCGTTTTTATAGTTTTCACACATCAAGTGTAAGGTTAAAAGTGATAGATTTTAAGAACCAAGAATATGGTATGCCATCCCACCCAAACTTATAAACAAATCACAAATAACATGAAATAGAAAAAAACCATAAAGACTTCCTTTGCTTTTGGAAAACAGCTGAGAAACAACAAAATTCTTTTCAGAAGTACAGACAAAATTTGTTTTTGTAGTGTAGTCAATATGCCCTCCTTAGGCATTAAGACACTTTTCTGTTTGTAACCTTAATACAGCTGTATTTTTACTCTTTATAAAAATCAAGTCTCTCAATAAAAACAGTATCTTACTCACTAATCATTAAGCTGCATCACTAAAAACATAGTTATACACACCAATTTCTAACCTCTTAGAATATTCTGCACAATCAGTTTTAATCACTGGAATGAATAACTGCTCAAAAAAGCAGTGCAGCTTCAATTGCATTATGATTTGGTAGTCAATATTCCTGTTTTTCAGTAAAAGGGAGATTTCATGAACAGAAACTTTGGGCTCCTTATGGTTTCATCGATCAAGAGAACGTTTCTGAGCAGCTTCTGAGCAAACATTTCTTAATAGGTTGATCACAGATCTGGGGTCTTCACTCCTCATAATAGCACTGCCAGACACAATCATGTTAGCTCCTGCCTGGAAGAAGTAAACAGTTAGGTTACGCCTCAAAGGAAAATGGAGAAAAACCTAAAACAGAATTCCTGGACTAGAATGTCTACTCTTGCATCTGTCAACATTTCAATCATATGAGAGCCACTTTGAGATTAAGCAGACTTAAGCAATCTAGTTCAATAAGAAAAATTTAAAATGTTCACAAATGAGGATGTGAGATTATTTTTAAATGTGTCTAAGAAATCATCGACCTTTCTGGTAAACCAACTCTTAATAATCTACATGGTATCTTTGCTACTCTTTAGATAAGGTTTAAAAGCCTTTACTCCTCAAGCCCACTGTTTTTCCCAATAGGCACCAATGCTTCTATTAGTTACTAAAAAAAAAAAAAACACTTTTATTCTTAATTTGTGAGTGTTAAAGGACAATTATTGCTACCATGTGAAATTATCCATAAATTATGGCAAAATTAAAGTGATTTCTCATTTTTGTTTCAAAAAATGGAATGAATATCTCTCTTTATACTTCACTGCATTCCAGAATGGTTTTGAAGTGGCTTTAAAAAAGTTTTTAACATATGTTTAAATATGGAAGCAAAGAAATTAAAAAAGAAAAGCTAAAAAATTGGGTCCAAATTTAACTCTGAGCTTCCAGGATTTGATTCGAGGATGGAAACCCAATCGGTTTTGTGGTTCACTGCTAGAACAAAGAGGGAGAAGTGGGAGAACCACAGGCTGAGGAAAATTTTTCCAGACAGTGTCACTTTATGTATGACAGCATTTCTAACAATATTCCTCACAGAAATTATAAAGGTGAGTTTTATAGGGTTAACACTGCAAATATCTCTTCAGTTAACCCATTTATGCCTAGTGTTCCATTATTGGAATGCAAAGCTTGTGGGAGTTCTTCATATCCTGCTGTTTAAGGTCATCACCAAGGTCTGATTTTTCACACAAAAAAATTGCAACCTTTGGCATAAAAGCAGGAGTAGTATACTGGCAAAGCACAGTTTGTACAAAGCAATTCCACAAGCAGTCAAAAGGATATGAGCTCAGTCATTATCTGCCCAGCCCCTCCTGCAAAAGTATTTACTACTGTCAAGCTTTTGATGGGTATATATCAATCAGAAAAGTGTGAGAGTTATACAGAACCTGGAAGTAGATACACCACACTGTGAAAGAAAAGCAGGTCATGTGAGTTTTATTTTAATCACTTGTGGTGCTACCAGGAGGGCTGGCATCCTCGGGAGCCTGACTATGCTAGACTAACTATCTGAAAAAAAAGTAAAAAACAAGTTTTTATTTGTATACAGATAGCCAAAGAGGGATACAGAGACAGCCAAAGGGGTATCAGGGCTAAATTTTAATCAAAAATGGTTCTAGCAAGTTCTTACAAGGAACAACTAAGTAATATATAGGTTCTAAAGAATAACGTAATAATTAGGTCAATTAGATTTCTCTACTTTTATCCCCCTTGGAGAGGAGGTATCTTTTAATTCCATATTTTGGAAAAATTTCTCACTTCCAAGGCCCTGGAACTTAATGATCTTCCAAAGGGCTGAAATTCAACATATTATTTTTTAAAAACGAACTTTCTTCAGCCTTCCTGAGACAACCAGGATTTACTATTTAACAATTTATGTGATTTTAGAATATCCACTTATGGGCCAGACGCAGTGGCTCACATCTGTAATCCCAACACTTTGGGAGGCCAAGGCAGGCAGATCACTTGAGGTCAGGAGTTCGAGACCAGCCTGGCCAACATGGTGAAACGCTGTCTCTACTAAAAATAAAAAAAATTAGCCAGGCACAGTGGCAGGTACCTGTAATGCCACCTACTCAGGAGGCTGAGGCAGGAGAATTGCTTGAACCCTGGAGGCAGAGATTGCAGTGGGCAGAGATCACACAACTGTACTCCAACCTGGGCCACAAAGACAGACTGTCTCAGAAAAAGAAAAAAAAAATCCACTTATGGCTGTTTATTTTCCTAGTTGTACATGTGAACAAAAAATACTTTTCCAAGAAAGAAAGTCAACTTAGGAACCATAGAGGGAATCGCTGGCCCGTGAGACAATGTCCTGGAGACATACTTGACAGGAAATTGGTCTAGTCAGAGTTGAAGAGCAATCTCACCTCTGCACACTTATGGACAGTGTCAGGACCTACTCCACCATCGACCTCTATATCCAAAGATGGGAACTGGGTCCTCAACCAGTGAACCTAGATATATACATGAGGAAATAAGTTTAACTCCTAAAGTGGATATGTTGATGGGGGTGGGGGGGTAGATAACCAAATAAACAAAAAAATCCAACAGCCAAAATTAGCAATTAAAACTCCAATTGTCTCACACAATAACTATACCAATACAACATATTACTGGGGAACACTTGGTTTTTAATAGCAAGCTTTGTTCTATTTGGCAAACAGCAATCTGTAATGTCTTTACAGAGACTGTGTGTCATGGAAAGAAGAGAGACAAATCCTCAATAGTCAATGACAACTTCCAAGAGATTTAAAGGTTACAGAGATAACAGTTTCAAAAGAAAATTTCAAGACTCCTAGGCGTGGTGACTGATGCCTCTAATCCCAGCACTTTGGCAGACCAAGCAGGAAGAATAGCTTAAGCCCAGGAGTTCAAGACCAGCCTGAGTACACAGTGAGACCTCCCCTCTATTAAAATATGTAAGAATTAGCTGGGCATGGTGGTGTGCACCTGTAGTCCCAGCTACTCAGGGTGCTGAGGCAGGAGGATCTCTTGAGTCCACGAGGTCGAGGCTGCAATGAACCCTAACTGCATCACTGCATTCCAGCCCAGGTGACAGAGCAAGACTTTGTCTCAAAGAAAGAGAAAATTTCAAGATAAAGATGTAATACTTCTCTGATTTCCAAATCAGAAATCTATTACAGCATTTATTATATACTGTATCAGAATGATCTGTAAGCATCCCCATCTCCTCACCTTCAGAACAGGTTATGCCTAAATATACAAGCCTTTCAATAAATGCTTACTGAATGAACACACGGTAAAAGTCTCACCCCAAAATCAAATACTTCTTTTACCTTTGGCATCATATCTTCCATGAATTTCTGCCCTCCAAACCCTGGTTCCACTGTCATAACCAAGGCCATATCTATTTGATTAGCCCATGGTGCCAAATACTCAACTGAGGTTCCTGGTTTGATGGCAAGGCCAACCTGTAACAGACACAAATATGCTATATCACGTTGACATTTACAATTCCCTCTGTATTACATTATTGTGGCACAGCAGGCCCAGTAGAAATACCTGTTCTTATTTTTCGAAAGTTAACAAGACTATTAAATGTAAGTATTTCCAACAAGCAGTAGCTTTCAGAAAATATTCGTGGAATATATAAATGCTATTTGACAAAGAAGTTAAATCCTGGCATCATAGATGAAGAACAGCTGCTAAAGTAGGCAATGGGCCCTGACTGTGCCACTGCACTTCAGCCTGGGCGACAGAGCAAGATTGTCTCAAAAAAGAGAAAATTTCCTATTTCCAGCAAATCTTCCCAACTGAGAGTGAATGTTACAAAACACTCTCATCACTGGTTTCTTACCTTCATTCCATTCTCCCGAATATCTTTAATCAAAGCCCCTGGGTTCTCGGTAGCCTCGAGATGAAAGGTGTACTGATTGGCTCCTGCTACAGCCATTGGCTTTACCCACTGTTCTGGCTTGGACACCATCATGTGCATGTCTAGAAAGAAAAGACACTTCAAAATATTACTGAAAAATACCTGGTTCATGCTATTGGAAGCCAACTTGTATGCAGTTTTTGCCACTTCGGATATGAACTCTTTGGGCACCACACAAATCATTATTTCAATAGTTATAATTCAGTATAGGTAGTTTCCTCTTATTTTGAAGACAAGGATTTATTTAAATTCATTTACAAAAACCCTTTTCCCACAAAAAGCATACAGTGCTGTATATAAAAAGTTAACATCTAAAAATCAGGAAATCTAGGTCCAGGTCCAGGAAATGCCATTCTACAAAACTTAAAGAATATGTCATATTATCCATGCAGACTAGTTTCCTCGAGGAAAAATAAGTGATTATTTTCATTTCTTCTTTCAATTTATTGAGCAGTTACTGCACTATTAATTATTCTAGGTCCTAGGGTTAGAGCAAAAACATGAAACTCTCCTGTCACAGGGATTACATTCTTAATGGGACAGTCAAACAATAAACAAAATAAGGAAGTAAAATGCACACTAGGTAGGCAGTTAATATGGCTGGTGTGCATGGGGAAGGAGATACACCAGTCAGAGGTCAGGGAAGCACGTGGTGAGGAGAAACCCTACGGCATTCTGCAGGCCACTGGGAGAAATCACCACAGTGAAGTGACAAGATACTATCGACCGAGGAAGCTACGATAGTAATAACCCAGGTGAAAAATGATGGCAGCAATTCAGGATGGATATGTTCTGAAATAAGAGCAAAGAGAGCTGTGGATGGATGAGATGTGGAGGACGAGAAGATCCTCCACGGATAGACAGATGAGAGGAAAACAAAGATGGCATCAAGGATTTTGAACTTATTAACTAGAAGAATGGAACTGCCATTAATTGAGAGGCAAAAGACTGCAAGAACAAATTTAGGGGAAAGGACATGTTGACTACAAGAAACCTGATATCCATCCTAATGTTAAAGCTTGATCCATATAAACATATAAGGTGAAAATGGGCATGGCCTGCTTAAAGATCTTGACTTAAATCATAATAGCATTTCACGAGAAGGAGAGGGCAGCTTAAAACAAGCTAAACCAAGAAATAACACTGTGAAGCATCCTGTGTTTGATAAATGGTAGTGAGGAGAGGTTTTGAGTTTTTTATTTTGCTAGAGGAAGCACATTTCTGATACAGCCAAGCTATACTTAAGAAAAAAAAATTCTAACATTCCAGAACAATTATGAAATACAACAAAGCCTTTAAAAAAAAGTCAGAAAAAGAGAGTATAAAGCTTGACTAATAAAGTCAAGACTAACATTTGTACTTCTAATCCACCAAAAGTAACTGTATGAGATTTTTTTTTTTTTTTTTTTTTTAAATAGAGATGAGGTTTCGCTTAACTCCTGGCCACAAGTGATCCTCTCATGTTGGCTTCCCAAAGTGCAGGGATCACAGGCATGGGCCACCACACCCGGCCTAAATTACAACATATTTTAATAGGTAAAACTTTATTCTTAAAAAAAAGTATTAAATCTGGTGTTTCTTATTCTTTGAATTATAAACAAGGAAAATTCAAGCTGGTTGAAAATACCTACTCTCTATTCATTCCGTAAGTTACCAGACTGCTAGCTATGTCATCCTTACTCAATCTCTAGCATCCAGTAACCACTAGCAATCCTCAACGGAGAATTTCTATGGTGTTTAGGGAGTCAGTAGTTCAGCAAATCCGTGTAGAGTTAACATTAGATCAGCAATTCTCAAACATTCTATTATCATTCTATTATCATCTATTACAATCATAATCTATTATTCATAAAATTGGTCAACAATATGCTGATTAAAAAGAATCTAAGTTCTATTAAATTCTAAGTTACATTTAAAAAAAACATTCACTATATATGGCTAGGTGTGGTGGCTCAAGCCTGTAATCCTAGCACTTTGGGAGGCCAAGGCAAGTGGATTGCTTGAGCCCAGGAGTTCACTCTCTTAAAAATTAATAAAGACCCCAAGAAAGTTCTGTTGATATGGGTTATATTTATAGATATTTAATGTATAAGAAATTCAAACTAAGACATTTTAAAGCACGTAATTTTTGGTGGGTACGGTGGCTCACACCTATAATCTTAGGAGGCTGAGGAGGGAGGATGGCTTGAGCCCAGTTTGAGACCATCCTGGGCAATGCAGTAAGACTCCTTCTCAACAACAACAGAATAATTAGCTAGGCATGGTAGTGTGATCCTGCAGTCCCAGCTACTGGAGGGGAGGGGTGAGGTGGGAGGACTGCTTAAGCCCAGGAAGACTGAGGCTTCAATGACGTATGAAGGCCACGACTGCACTCTAGCCTGGGCGACAGAGCAAGACTGTCTCAAAAAAGATACCTCTATTACATATTAATTAAGAGTGGTATTGTTTGTTTTACATTTTTGCAAGTCTTCGGTGTCTGGCTTAATAGAAGACACCTACATTCTCACATCTGTTCCATATCCAATCTGTTGTAACACAGATGTTTTATGACTTACAATGGGGTTACATCCCAATTAACTCATCCTGAATTGAAAATACTGTTATGTCTAACTGCATTTAATATACCTAACATACCAAATGTCATAGCTTAGCCTAGCCTACCTTAAATGTGCTGAGTGGTAATTTTATAAAGGTTAGCTGCAATGCGCACTCTGTAAACCCAATCAATAAGCTTTTCATTCTTTGTTACATTAAAACCCATTGTTTGTATTGTATTTTGAATGGGTATTTTAAGTACTGATATACTGAGTTATACACATCTTACAAATAGTGACAGATTTCATTCCATAGTACCCCAAAATTACATTTGTTAAAATAACTACAGATCTCATCAGAAAAGCTTGTTAACTGTTGGGACGCTATCAAATCCACAGTGGTAAGATACACAAGTTCTTCAAAATTCTAATTGTGGGAACAAAAACTGACAAGGTATCTTTCCTTGAAGAGACAGCCTCATTTAGTTAACATTTTCTAAAAGTCATTAAAATAGCCAGGTCTGAAAAACCATAGTTTATCTGTCAGTTGTTCTTTCAAATAAACATAGTGTTCTGGAGGAAAGCAGCTAGTTCAGATCATACCTCTATGGTACAAGTAGTTTTCCTTGAGAAAACCATAATGTTCCAATTCCAATATGCAGCAATGCAGCACAAGTGCTTTATATGCACTTCCTACTTTGTCACACAAAGTATTAAAAAGGCATGTATTCAAGGACCAAGATTTATTAATTTGTACTGCTTCATCAAGGATATTTATTGCAAATGCATGATGATGAAGAATATAACAACTCCTGATATAGTCCCTGCCTTGAGTTGGTTAAGGCACAAGCAAACTGACTCATCAATGTTTTTCTACCATCAGTAGAAATAATGGCAAATAATTTCCTAGTATTATGAAAATAGTTTTGATATACTCTCATGGATGACCTGCAAGGGTCTTAAGGAATTGTGTGAGTCCTTATACAAAGTACTTGAGGATCACTGATTTAGACAATTACAGGAACAGACTTTTCCCTATCACTTTATTTCTTAGATGTTTATTTCTACTCAATATGAAAACTGAAGAGTTAAGAATGTTAGCGTTACATATACAACACAACATGTAATCTTGGTCCTAGAATACATTCATGTATCAATTATCCAACAACCAAAATCCAAGAATTAAACAAATGTTCCTTAATATAAAAAACAAAGGTAGCTGGGCTCAGTGACTTACACCTACAATCACAACACTTTGGGAGGTCAAGGCAGGAGGATGGCTTGAGCCCAAGTGTTCAAGATCAGCCTGGGCAATACAGGGAGATCCCATCTCTACAAAAAGTAAAAAACTAAAAATAAAAATAAAAATAGCCAGGTGTGGTGGCACACACCTGTAGTCCTAGCTATAGCTGCAGTGGGAGGACTGCTTGAGCCCAGGAGTTCAAGGATGCAGTGAGCTATGATTGTATCACTGCACTCCTGCCTGGGTAATAGACGGAGTCTGTCTCTTAAAGCAACAACAACAACAACAACAAAAAGCCAAAAACCGAAAAACAAGGGTCACAAAACCCAAACATTAAAGTAAATGGATTTATCTTTCAGATAAAATTCTAGAAATATTAATTAGCAAGTTTATCAACAAATTAAAAACAACAAGAAAAAGCAGATTGTATGTGGTGGCAGCAACACAGGATTGTTAAAAGGAAAGGCACTGACAGGAAATGATATAGACAATAGTATGGTGTGACAATGGGAGCCCAAATAAAAGGGAGCACAAAGGAAAAAAAAAAGAAAGCATTAAAAAAATTCACACAACAAAGCCAGAAGCGAGGATTCTGGCCATTGATTGTACAGTGGGAGCAAACAATGCTCTGTATTTCATCCACCTCTCACGGTCATGAGAACAACCTTAATTCATAGGAAAAGTCATGGTATCTGCTATATAAGCTAACTATGGCTTAAAAAAAGTTTAGATAATCAGAGGACTATATCCCATTATCTGGAAATTTCAAAATGGTGAACATATTGGTGGAACATTGTCTCCTCATGCCACATAAATGAGGTAATAATGTACATTTTCTTTGGTGTACTCAAAGTCGATGGATCCTATGCAGAGGCTGAAGACTGTATCCAACTGAATTTTCTGTGATATTGGAAATGTCCCATAGCTGCACTGCACAATATGTGACTGAAGACTTGCAACACGATTAATGTGAATAAGGAACTGAATTTTTAAGTTTATGTAATTTAATTTAAAAAAAAAATTTGTTTTTGACATAGAGTCTCACACTGTCACTCAGGCTGGAGTGCAGTGGAATGATCTCAGCTCACTACAATCTCCACCTCCCAGGTTCAAGAGCTTCTCATGCCTCAGCCTCCTGAGTAGCTGGGATTATAGGCGTGCGCCACCATGCCTGGCTAATTTTTGTATTTTTAGTAGAGACGGGGTTTCACCATGTTGGCCATTCTGGTCACGAACTTAAGTTTATTTAATTTTAGTAGCTACATGTGGCTTATGACTACCATAGCGAACAGCACAGAGTCCTTCAAAAACCTGGTCAACAATATGCTGATTAAAAAGAATCTAAGTTCTACTAAATTCTAAGTTACATTTAAAAAACTATTTAGGCTAGGCGTGGTGGCTCAAGCCTGTAATCCTAGCACTTTGGGAGGCCAAGGCAGGTGAATTACTTGAGCCCAGGAGTTTGAGACTAGCCTGGGCAACATGGCAAAACTCAGTCTCTTTTTTTAAAAAAAGAAAAAAATAAATAACACTACTTAAAAAAACGTGTACAATTTCTCATGTTTAAAAGATCTGACAGGTGAGACATTGCTAACTTGTAGGCCACTAAGTAATCTTAAAAATCTTAATTTACATTGTACTATGACATTGGAGTGAATATTTAGGCAGCACTTGTAGAAAACTCCAATTTGCACAAAACAAATGGCTTCTGGACCATAAATCAACTGATTCATAAACTCATTTAACAATCACACTGAGCCCTGATCATGTCTATGCTTAGCTTTAGGAAAACCACAATAAATAAAGTGGATTCAATCCCTGCCCTCAGAGTTTACAGTCTAATAAAAGTCATCGCAGATCAAAGGAAGTTCTTAGAGGAAAATCAACAGGTGATAAGATAATTGGATAAAGGTTAATTTGGGAGAGGGTGCTCAAAAAGGCCTCTCTGAGGAACTGACAAATGACTTGAGGCCCAAAGATGTGGCAGCCAGCCAAGCTACTACCTTTCCACACAGATGAGCCAAGGCCCAGAGGCAGGAAGAAGTTTGGCTTGTTACTGGAGTCAGGTCAATGAAGACCCAGCATAGGGAAGTTGGGGAAAGGGTGCCAGATGAACTTGGAAGTTAAAAAAAATCAACCATCCAGTTTTCCTTTACTTGAGCAACACATCCAGCTTCAGATGGCATAACACCCACTTACCAAAGAAAGGGTCCTGGCCTAGCTGCTTTCGAAGGCTTTCTACCACAGGGTGACCAAAGGTGATGTTGGGAACAAAATGCCTACAAGACAAACAAAATCTACTCTGAAAATGTTTTCAATTCAGTTTCTGTTATCTCTCTCAATATGAATTCTGACATGGGTTGAGGGGATTGTGTGCAATGTTTTTCAATTTAATACTTAATCATCAGTATTAAATAATACTAAAAATACTGGGTCATTTTGGTTTTACTAGGTAATGTCTTCTTGACATTTCAACAAATCATGTCACATATATTTTCATAATGATTTGACTCTGTAATTCACAACCCATGACAGGTAGAAATGGAGAGATGACAAAATCAGAAACCCTCAGGCTTTATGACTTGCCCAAGTCACACACCAGTTAGTAAGTTCTGGACTCTTAACATTGATCTGAATCCTAGTCTGTCTCAGGAGGCCTGTGACTACTTTTAATCACTTCTATCACAGGGCATTACATGACAATTTCTTTAAACTTTCTTAAAGATGACTAATAAAGAAACGTGATGTGTTTATTAATAATGACCGCCTTTCACTGAGGGTTTACTACATGCCAAGCATTGTAATTTACTTCACTTCATCTTCACGACAGCCTTATAGAGTAGATGCTATTATTATCCCCTTTGAAGAGCACAAGATAAATAAAATCCTTAAGTAACTCAGCTAATAATTTGTGAAGTGGATTCAAATTAAGTCTACCAGCTGGGTGCAGTGGCTCATTCCTGTAACCCCAATATTTCAGGAGGCTGAGGCAGGCAGATCACTTGAGGTCAGGAGTTCAAACCAGCCTGGCCAACGTAGTGAAACCCTGTCTCTACTAAAATACAAAAATTAGCTGGGAGAGGTGGCATGCACCTGTAATCCCAGCTACTCAGCAGGCTGGGGCAGGAGAATCCTTTGAACCTGGGAAATGGAGAGTGCTGTGAGCCAAGACTGCGCCACTGTATTTCAGCCTGGGCGACAAAGCGAGACTTATCTCAAAAACAAAAACAAAAACAAATCAAGTCTACCAGACCCACGGTACTTATCCTTTACCTTACTCCAGTTAATCTTTTTGTTCTATCACTAGTTCACTTAAATATTTAACAAAACCAGGGCCAGGCACAGTGGCTCACACCTGTAATCCCAGCACTTTGGGAGAACGAGGTGGGCGGATCACAAGGGCAGGTGTTCAAGACCAGCCTGGCCAACATAGTGAAACTCCATCTCTACTAAAAATACAAAAATTCGCTGGGCATGGTGGTGTGCATCTGTAATCCCAGACACTCGGGAGGCTGAGGCAAGAGAATCGCTTGTACCCAGGAGGTGGAGATTGCAGTGAGCCGAGATTGCGCCACCGCGCTTCAGCCTGGGCAACAGAGCAAGACTCCGTCTCAAAAAAAAAATAAAAACAATAATCATAATAAATAAAATCTCCTATATGCAAGTACCATACTAGATGCTTCAGAATACTGTTTTGTAAAGAAATATGCTCCAGTTACTGTTTTTCCTAGGAGCTTACCATCTCACTGGCAAGAGATGACAGAGATTGACAGCCAATGACTCACCAGAATTCACAACCCTACTGCTATCGTATAGTTGTCAGTGGGATGTCAACTCAGTCAAACCTTCTCATGCCCAGTTCCCTTTACAATCAAGTGACCCATGTGACTTTACATCCCAGTTCCCAGTTCCCTGTTCCCTTTACATCCCAGTGGCTTATGTGACTAACTCTCACCACCAGACTGTGAATGCAAGTAATGTGTGTCACTGCAGAGTCCGGAAGGTTAAGGAGAATTTTTTTCCTATTGCCACTTTACCCTTCTGCCAACAAAGCCCTTACAGAATGGAAGAGACACAGAATGGAAGAACACTCACACTGAACTCTTACATGAAGGAGAAACTAGAACTAAGCTACTGAAATCTGGGCTTTGTTAAAGCAGCTGGTATTATCCTATATGAGGATTACAAGAAAAGCTATACAATAACAGGCAGGTAACATGTGATTATAGACAAAATATACATAAAATAAGAGCAAGTATTAGAGAACATTAAGAAAGAAGTTCATGAGATTTACAAAATAGGATTTATAAAGATGGGAAAAGAAACAAAGGCTGAAAATGAAGCAAAAGCAGAAACAAGCAAGTTATAGTCAAAGACATGGAGAGTGGTATTGACCAACTTTGCCTAGTGTGAAAAAAAGATGGGAGGTGGGTAGTATCACATTAAAGGCGTCAAAGGCCAAGCTCATTGTCTGGACTTTTGTCCTGCTGGAAATATGAAGTAAGATCTTAAAGCAAGAAATATTAATAAATAAGACAGAATGAGAAATAAATTACAACAGGGTAGGTAATTGCAACTGCCACTTGGTAAGTGGCAAGGAACACTAAGAATGACAAAACAGGCAAAACTGATCAGATCCATTAAATGATTAGGTGTGTGGGAGGGGAGTTAAAATACAAACTATGTTTAAGGTCTTACAGTTAAGATGACAGGTAGAATGAGTGTTAATAAAAACCAAACTTATACGTGGGCCACACACAGTTCTAAAGACTTTCTATATATTAAATCATTAAAACCTCACAACAACCCTACGAGGTAGGTACTTTTATTAACTGTATTCTACAGATGAGGAACAGAGGCCCAAGGTCACACAACCAGTAAGCGCTGGGGGCAGGAGTTACACATAGGCACTACGGCTACCAAGTCCAGGCTCTTAACTACTATGCTCATCTGTCCCTACAACAACAACTAACGAAACCAACGGGGAACAAGTCTAGCGGAGAAGAGATTCAAGAGAGAGAGGTAAGGATTCAGGACACATCGGAGAGGGACAGGTAAGGCGGATGGGTACAGACACTTTCACTCAATAACACCTTGGTCTTTGGAGGTTTAATTTCTATCATTAAAAAAGTGATTCTACCATTTGCCTGAGCAATGATTGTCAGCGCTGTGGATAAGATGTATGTGTTTACTTAAAACTTGAAATAAGGGTCACAGAGGCAGGCAGTAAGGCCTATTGAATGTTTTACAACTCTGGAATTAAAGATGTGAATTTCACATACTGTTCTTTTATTATGCTGTGTAGTATGGGAAATAGTTCTGTTGTCTTAACAGTAGGTTTCATTTATCATGAAAATAAAAGTATAATATCCACCTCCCGAGTAAACACGAGAACCAAAAAAAAAATACACTTCTACTTTTTTGGGAAAACCTAAACAAAACGTATAAAAATACTATCCCCACAGTTATGTGACTTAATTTGTGCTTTTGAAAATCAATTAAATGCTAGGTTCACAAAGTATACTGGAAGAACAAAAATGCACCAGTAGTCTCAAAAAAACCCAAAGGCTATGCTGAGCCATAACAAAAAAGGGCTACAATCCTAAGCATGAAGTCAGGGTGTCCCAAATTTACCAAACAGTAACGATGAGAGCAGTTCTAATGTATTTACAGTCTCCACCTCAGCCTACTGACTCCAAAGAGGACCAGGAATCTGACTTTTTAACAAATGCCAGAGGGAGTTAACAGACCAGCTTGGAAAACACTTAACTATTTCACTTTAATGGAGAGAAACTTCATTAAAAATTATGCTTCATCATTATCTTATTCTGCCTCTTTTTCCTTTATTTTCTGGAGTCAGTTAACTGTGAAAGAAATAAAATACAATAAAAAGGTATCCCTTTCTCCCAGGGACTCACTGGAATTACACTATAATTTTTTGTAATACAACAATACAATTTGCTCTTTCACGTTCCATTATCACTCCTAAGCTTTACTTACGTAATTCTAACACAATCTACTGCAGACAGATCAAGCCATTTACCCTATCTCCCAACAAGGCAAAGATGGTAAGAGGAGGATTAGAGTCGATATAAAAGGTACAGGAGTGTAACTAGAAAACAATCTTCCTGTGAATCAGGAATCACAAACTAAAATGCTGCTGGGGGTTAGCAGATAACATCAAAGAGCAAAACAGAGCAGATAGGGAAAGGCGCCAAATGAAGTACATCCCGGGTGACTAAAGGTGATGCTGCCCCTGTCAACTCCAGCACGTGTCACCTTGTAAGACTGAGGACCCAGTGCTAGAAGTCTTTTTTTGTTTGTTTTTTTTTGTTTTTGTTTTTGTTTTTTTCCCCCAAAAATGAGAAATGCAGCAAAAGTCAGAAACGTGAAATCGTCCCAGTTTTAAATCCTGGTAGCTAATTTAGAAATTAGTTTGCTAATTTAGAAATTCTTTGCTCTGTTCCCATGGTTAGGATGAACACATTCTAGTCACTGTCCTGCCATGATGTATTTATGTATTTTCTAGTGTTTTTTTCCCCAGAGAATCCGCTTGTCCTTTGTTTCACATATCCAGTCATGCTAGTGCTCCATCTTCCACAGTACTCCCCAAACCGGTTTCCAACTTTCTAAATGAAGAAATTCAGTTGTATCAGGGGAGAAATTGGAGGTCTTGGTGGGGAGGAGACTAGAAAACAACAAGCACATCCAAAGTGTAATGTTGGATGAGATTTTAAAAAGGGGCCAGGAAAAAAAAAACATGAAGGCAGTCCTGGGAGGGAAGGGACACTGGCTGCACTTTCATAACCCTAGCCTAGTAGACACCACAGCACATCACGTAGGGGCCCTGGCACCAGCTCTGCCAGCCTCTGCTGAATCTGGTGAGACATCAGGGAAGAAGCTGAACCTCCCTACACTGGTTTTCTCCTTTGCAAAAGGGGAATAAAAACAGCTTTTAACTCAGAAAGTAGAGAAGATTAAAAGAGAAATAATTTTAAAATTGTGTATGCAGAATTCAATTTCTCCAAACCAAAGTACCTCCTGGCAAAGGGGAAGAGGAATAAATAAAAAACAAATACTTTTTTAAAATTTTTTTGTTCCCAAAACTCTGATCCATTTTATGGATCCAATTTATCTTATTGAGCTCAGTCTGCCATAGAGCTGCGAGGGGACAAAAGTGACTCCTGAGAGACTCCTCCTATTATGATTAAGCCATTCATTCATTCAGCCAATGATTACCAAGCTCCTTATGGTGCTTTTCCCGCAAAGAATACATAGGTGAGCAAAAAGAAAAAAAAACTTGGCTTTCAGGAAGTTTATAGGGGAGCAGGAAAGACATGAAATAAGTTAATAACAATAAGTATACAGTTAACAAAAATAAGTATACAAATTATTAGTTGCTTTTTTGAGGCCAAAGATCATTCCCTGTAAGCCTAGGACCCACAGAAAGCATTTAATTTGAGACAACACAAGTTGCTGCATTGCTTCCAACCCTGGCTCCACTATTTACGAGACCACTGTCAGATGACTTAACCTATCTGTGCCCAACTCCTCGCTGTCAAATGCTGGTGGTAATAACATCAATTTCAAATGGCTGGGTGAGTTAATTCACACACAAAAAACGCCAGAACGGAAATAGTCAAGTGCTCATAAACATTGCTATTATGGTTATCATTAATAATCCTGACTGGTGAACTGAAACAATTACTTTCCCCAACCATTAACTTACTCAAACATAGTTTAATTAAAACCAAATTGCTTTCTGTGTCAAACAGAATCACAAATATACATGTAGCTTATTCCATCCTGTGACCCTCTAGGTGTTTACTCTAGCACAAAAATGTAGCTACTTATCTTTGAGGTACACACTCAGGGTATTACCTGTGACAGTTTAAGGCTTTCAAGCAAAGGTGTTAAAAATGAAGTAAATAAGTACAATTACATATAATGGCCAACTAAAGGTCAACCTTTGTGAGAGATAACATTTACTAAACTTTTTACACATTTGGCCTATTCTTAGTACTCTATGGTCAAAGTTTTGTCATTATCAGTTGGGTGGACTCCTAAGGTAAATGGGTAAAATGCAAAAGAGAAACAATACATTTAACCACATAGAGCAATGGAAGATAAAACTCTTCAAAGTCAGATTAACATTAAAAACAAAAGGAAATCATCACCTTTTGAAAATAACATCAATTTGCAAATTGAATGAGGAAACACAGGGTTTTTACCTATTTAAATTTATTTTTCCATCCCCACTCAAGATAATGGCATTTATGATTATGTCAGTTAACAGTGGGGCTCAGAGAACTACTTGGCAAACCCAGGAAGGGCCAAGCTGCAAGTCTGTCACAATCTTCTGTAATCTTGAGGGAGTCTTACTATTTTCTGTGGGGTTGTTTCCTCATTCTATCACAACTTCAGAAACTAATATCCTGATTCCAAACAATATTATGTGCTGTATCTACAGTGCTTAAAAATTACTTACAAAAAACTGACCTCCCTGAAGAGCAGGGTGCCTGAAGAGAAAATAGGAAATCAGACTTTTAATAATGATGTAACTAACAATTACAGAGAACTTAATATACGCCAGGCACTGTAAACCTTACATGTACTCGCTCATTTCATCTTCCAAAGATGCCTAAGCGGTAGGTTCTATTAGTAGTTCCATTTTTCAAATTATGAAACTGAAGCTCAATGAGGTTAGTGGCTTGTCCAAGGTAACCCAGGAAGTGGCAGAACTCGGGAACCTCGCTGCAGGTGCCAACTTTAATCGTTACAGAAGTCTGTCTCCCCAGCTTTGCCACTAACTAGCTATATGAGCTTGGGCAAGTCATGCTTCTCCCCTTGGGCCTCAGTTTCTGTAGCTGAAAGTGAAGAAACGTCCTAAAGATTTAGGTCGCTTCCGGGTCCTAAGTGATGGAAGACCACACGTTACGTGGGGTGGGGGAGGAGGGGAGGAATTGAGGTTTGGGATCCGGCCGCAACCCAGGATGCCGCGACAGTTCTGCTCCTGCCAGAGCCTCCAGGGTTCCTACCCAACTCCCCTTCTAGCATCGCGTTCAGAGTGAGGCGCTCGGTGGCACAGGGACGCGGTACATCCAACAGGCACTCAATAAAGGTGCGCTGATCCCGCCCCCCGCGCGGCAAGCCCGACCGGAGCCCGGAGGAGTTACCCGTCCATTACATCCAGGTGCAGATAATCGGCCCCAGAGTCTAGCATCCGGAGGCACTCGGCCCCTAAATTGGCCAGGTCGCTGTTGAGGATGGACGGGCCAATCTTGCAGCCCGACGCCATACCGCTGGCTCCCCAGAGCAAGTTACCCCACGAGTCCCCCGGCAAGACTAGAGCGTCACTCCGATTGGGCGGGCAGTTTTGGCCCCGCCCCTTCTCCGTACAGGCTTCCGGACTGTACGGGAAGCAGCGACTCTGCGATGAGGAAGTTCCGCCTCCTCCTGGCGTGAGGCGGTCTCTGCCGTCCGCCTGGGGCGGGGCGTGGCACACGGGTGTCGTGTTCCTAGTTCTGACCTTCCTTTTTATGCTGTTTGAATCTTAAAGTCCTCGCAGCACTCAAGGCGTTTCTTAACCTTTTTTCGCTTTGCTTCCCCTACAGTTCCTTCTCCTCGGTTCTTGACTTCACATCACCTTTTGTTTCTCCACCCTTTGCATATGCGTTCCTTTCCTCTCCAGCGCCTATGCTGGCCCTTTAAAACAACAATTAAAAATCTTCTTCCCTCGTATTTCTCTTAGAGCTCTTCTTTTGAGCTGGAGGAACCCTGGCTCTGCCAGATACTAGCTGGGTGACCTGGCAAGTCACTTCTTACTTCGGTTTCCTCATCTGTAAAGACAGTGCCCAGCTTTAGGGTTGTATTAAATGAGTGAAGCCAGATAATGCGCCCAGCAGGATGCCTGGTGCTCAGTACAAAATGGTAGTTATTATTACCCTCTTTTTCTGCCTCTGCACTTCCTCCTTCTTATCTTTTTTGTTTTTCCCTCTGTTGAGGCTCAGAAAATAATAGTCCAAAGTGAAGGCCTCAGTCGCAACAGTGTTTCTCTGACTTCATGTCCTGCTCTCTTCTCAATCTCATTCTCCCAGGAGGCAGGTCATAGAAACTAGAGCCCCTCTTCCCTAAGAAGAGTCATTGAAACCAGAACTCCCTTTTCTTGAAACCAGCCATAAAACCCAAAAGCATTACTCTAGCTTTCCTCCACCTTTCTGTGTAAAAACTGGCCAAAAATTATTTGACCTACTTCAATTGTAGGTTATAAAACTCCTCTTCTAGGGAAGGTTCTATCCCATATCCAGGAGAAGGGAATGCTGCACAGAGAGGCCAGGAATCCAAATTAGACCGGCCAAGCCCGGGTCAGACTATTAGCATTAGATCGCCTATTTTGTCCAACCGTATTTCTACATGGCTGTCCATACTTTGTTGAACCTAAGTATAAAAATGGGTAATCACCCCTGTACCTTTGGGTCTTCATTCTAAAGGCTCCAGTGTCAGGTAAAACTATGATCAAATAAGTTGTTATGCCTTTTATCCTGTTAAACTTCTTTTTGTCAGTGATGTTCAGGAAACCTTTGGAGGGTGAAGGGGAAGTTTTCCCTTGACCCCTACACCTCTCCAGTGCTCATTCACAAATTGTGATAGGTTTGTGTGCTGTTCACAGTTCAGAAATGGATAAGAGTATCCTGATGCTAAATGTGCCTAGGGTCAGAAAAAGAGACAGAAGTAAAACCACATGAGGGGGAAAAAATGGACTTAGCAAGAGCAATCCTTAAAGGGTCAGAATAGAGCACTTTGTATAAAAGACGGAAGTGGTAACTTGGACCACGTGGTGTTTCTGGCCACATTGTGAGGACAACCAGATCTTTAACAATCCCACTGGGAAATCTACCAGTTATTCCAGTAGGTCAAAGCCTGGGCAGAGAAGTTTATTTTTATTTTGAAAGGTAGATTTGGAAAGCATGAGTAGAACTCAGTTTGTTGGGAGGGGTGACAGGGAGTGTATTGGAGGTGTCTAACTGGATGGTGACCTCAGGCCAGACTGGGGAGGTTGAGGATGGACAGCAAGGCATTAACAAAGGCACACCCCAGGGATCCAAAATGAACATCTTCCTGAATGAGTCAACCTATTCCCTACATTAAGAAATGAAACAGGCATCTTAAATGTTTTTAGATGTATTTTATTATATGTGCATACCTAAACACAGAAGTCTTAATATCTTTCATAAATATCTTTCATAAACATTTCAGTATTTATTCATATGTATTTTTTCCATGTTCTTTGGTCATTCAATGTTCATAATAGACTTTATAGTTATCTGAGGGAAGTCGGCTGTGTAGTCAATCTTTTGTTTTAACCTATAAAATGGCTAATACAGGATTTTCATCCTGTGGTCACAGTGACTATTCAAAGATTTATGGAGGTAAATTGATCTGTAATCCTAAATGATCATAAAATAATATAAGTAAATTTGTCTTAAGCTTTTCCAAATACATTCTGCCCTCAACTTGTTTTTATTCTCCTGAGTGTCAAACCAAAACTTGTTTCTGAAATGCTACAGTTGAAACCCACTAAAGTAAAAGAAATGGGACTTTTTACCCCTAGCAAGACAAGGTCATGAAATTGGAAGTGTGAGGTCATAGGGCAACAGCATGACTTGGTGTGATAGCAGCAAATTCTGGAGACTGTTCTCTTAAAGTATCCTTTATAACTTGAGGAAGGATATTTAATTCATGTTTTTGACTATAATTCTATTCATTTATGACCCTTTCTTCCCTGTATTCTCATCTTAGATACTCTCAGAGGTGGGCAGCAGAGTGGAGAAAGTTCTTTGTTGACTAAAGGAATATAATGCTAAAGAAGAGAGGAGCTATCACCTTGTTTAAGGTACTCTTGGAGGCTTGAAAGAGCAAACCAGTTACTCCCAGCCTGTGCAACAAGCCCTAACCAGATCACTAGTACCACAGATTTTTCCACCAGCACTGCCATGCCCATTTATGCCTTTTGATTTTGACACTGTAGTTCTAAGTGCCTTGTCTTAATGCACTCAATAACTCAGTTTCTTTTTCAGAAAAATGACATAGCTTATCTAATAGAAATCTAGAAAGCAGCAAATACTGAAAAATGAAAGTAAAATGTTTTGCTATAGGAGATCCTATATCCAGGATTTAAACTGTTTTAATTGCATCTGAGTCATACTATCATGGATAACACATGGTTTATTCCAAGGTCTCTCAAAAGTTAATTTCAGAAGAAGCAACTTCTTTGTGGAGTCTAATTTTTTCTACATGGGAAGTGGGTACCTTTCTTGTTTTTCCTCTGAATAAGATAAATATCATTAAGCATCATGGCTTAAAAGAAATGATCTACTATTACCAACACTGTATTTATCATATGTAGTAATTAGCTTTTAGTCATGTACTTAATAATATTTTGAATATTTATCTTGAACTTTTTTCTAATCTTCCCCAACTTTTTTTTTTTTAATAGTTATTCCTTTCAAACTCCAGGTAACAGTATTCCTGAGAATACATCTTGTGACAGTTTTATGCACATACATATAGATACTTTAGCCATTACACATAAACATTCAACACATTACATTCAACACATTTAAGGGCACCTTAAATGGAACAGATGCACACATCTGCAAAATTTCAATAGTCCCAGTATGAAAACATTCCTACTCTGTAAGGCCCTGTTTCTCATAGTGGAGGCTTTTTTGCAAGATACAACATTGCTTAGCTTATTGAAAGTTTCTAATAGACTTCCACACACAAGAGTGAAGGAGTCAGGCTAAAAGGCAGACAGACCAGCATAATCATGTTCAAAACAGCCCAACAGTTTTTAAATACATATAAAGGTATTTATGATTCTTGTTGGATATTTAACAATCTTCTTTGACTTCTTTGCTATTTAAATATTTCATACAATTATACATAGATAATTTGAATCAAGAAACTGGAACAAAGCACACACATACATAGAGACGCACAATAGCCCAGACACTTGTAATTACCAAACATAAGGCCTCTAATGCTAATTGAGCAGCATAATTTTTAACAGGTGAAATATATCAGCTTGGAATCATAAAACCACTTAACATTTATATTCCTGCACTTGAGAATTATTTCAGCATTAACTGTAAATAACATGAAAATATTGTAAAACATAAAAGAGGTCATTTACTGCCTCCATTTTCTGAATTGTTAGATTTGAAATTTTTAGTTTTGTTCTTACATCTTTAACTCATGGATATCTTTCATTCTCTTACTGAATAGGACCATAACCCCAAATTATATTTGAAATTATAAACCACAGTATAAACAATGCCTATTTAATAAGCAATTCTAACAAAAAATAATTTTCCTTTATGATTAAGGTGGGTTTAGTAGGTATCTTCTTTATATACGTACACATTTCACAGCCAACACACGCAAAGTTTAAGCATACAGAATGTGTTTTAAATTCATTGCAGGGTAATCAAAGTCTATATTTAACTTCATCTTGAGGACTAAAACACATACACGCACGCACACATACACCACCATACCAATTTAAGTATGTATATGAGTTTGTATATGCTTAGTTGTTAGGTAACAGTTTTCTAATGTAAACTGCTAAAATTTTGAAATTCAATTGTGAACCACATGATACACAGCCCTGCTACAGGATCAGTAACACACTAGGTGTTGGCCTCACAAGCCTTCTAAGTGTTACACTTTTCTTGAAGTAACTGAACTTCAAGTTAAAGGCCTATTTGTAAAATATATAAACTGGAGGTGTCTGTGAAGAAATTGCTTGCTTTATACGTTTTTCCTTATAAACTTAGATGTTCCAAGTATCATAAGAATATTGTTTCTATTAAGAAAATGTTATTTTATTAAACTGATTCTAACACCACTAACTTTAATATTTGAAAATATGCCCTCCAGGGCAGGCACAGGATACTGTAAGGAAAAGTATTACTAATCACATTTTCCAGTATCTTCTAATCTTGGTATTGATGTAGTCAGGGCTAGGAATAGGAATACCATCTCTTTTAAGTGATTATATTTACATTTGGTTTTTATAGTTGTATAGGCTATTCAGGTTCTTAATTCAGAATTATTTCTGATGATTTCTAGAATATTCTCTAATATTCTAATGTGATATATTATGAAATGGGATGATCTTATGCCATTTGCATTTTGATTTACAACATGCAATGAAAATGGTAGTTGAAAAATAAATATCTAAAAGTCCACAGCTCTCTATATAGTATTTTTTTCTTCATCTAAATGGCTGTATTGTTAATCAAAACAAAAATGGCTGTAGGCTTATTTGTTATTTAGTCTCCCCAAAGTAATGTTTTTCTTATTTTTTTAATGTAAATTGCTACTT